CACACACACACACACACACACACACACACACACACACACCACACACGTACTGCTCACAAAGCAGTTGTGCAAACATAAACAAGAGTCAATATTACTGTTTAACATTTCAGCTGTTGTGGCTCGCTTGACAGATGGCCAGCTACCCCAGACATAGGGCTGAACGATTATGGAAAATAATCTAATTGCGATTTTTTGCCCCAATATTGCGATTGCGATGCGATATGCGATTATTTTTTAAGGTCTTTGTCTTCTGTATTATTAAACAAAGACAAGCAATACATCATATAGTATGGCCAATACTATATTACATTAATTTTAAACTGTTCTTTCCTGGAAGACAGACCTCTGTTATGATGACATGAGGTGATGCATGAATTGATGACTGACATTTTTATTTAACTTCTTCAATCACAACAGTATATTTGAACATACACAATAGTTTATTTTTAGCTTACAAACATCTGAGCATAAAGTGCTGACAAGGAACCCTGGTGTAAACATTAAAATGAAAGTCAGTACAATGTGCCGATTGCAGAAATATACATTAAAAAAATCAGTGGCTTTACCACACTCAGTTTTTCGACATCTGTGAACTACTAGACAGTCATTCAATTAAAAAATAATATTAAATAAATAAAACTAATAAATAAAAAATACACACATCTTACTGATCTCTGCAGTCAGTAACATTACACATAAAGTGCAAACATAATAGCAATTGTATAAACACACACACAAACACGCCTTTAAAATTTAAAGGCGTGAAATTGGACGGTCTAGTTCTGATTAGCGTCACCGCTGTCTCGGTGGAGTTTAATAAACTCGGCCGTCTGCTTCTTGCTATCTAAAATATAACCAGACACTGGTGTAAATTCTCGACTGTCTCATACTTCTGTTTAATCAGTTTTCTGTTTGACGTTTAGTCAGCTGTGTGAAAACCAAGGAGGAACCCACCCGGGGGATTAATAAAGTTTTATTTTATCTAATCTAATAACTTTAATCTCAGCCAAACCGATTTACTCACGAACAAACAAAACACTGAAAAAAGCCCAACAATAACATTTTTAGGTTGTCTAAGTGACTTATATATTACGTTTAACCCGAGCAGCGAAACTCCGCGGTGATCTGAAAATGATGTGCCGGGAGTTGTGCCGTTCTCGGCCGCATCAGTAACCCTCGAGCTTCCGGCTAGCTGTCGAGCTAGCCGGAGGGTAGCAGACGCCTCTGAAAACGTCGAAGCACTTTTGCAAATATGGGATATCTTGATAAACCGAGCAGATATTTGATGTTTACACAGCTACTTTCTCGCCTGAAAATATGTTAAAAGTTTATTTTGTGACCCAGAAAGATTAGTATGAGTAATTTTAAAACTTAGTAGCGGCCGCCATTGCTGGAAACTGGAGTTTGGCTGGGCCGCGCTATGAATTCTGGGATATGGTAGTAATTTGGACAGCCTTCGGCGCGTCGCTGTGACGTAATCGGTCTACAAATGCGGCCTCAGGAGGATGCAGCCCATGAATTTGGACATGTCCAGAGTATAATCGCAGCCTTTGCGGTTAGAAAATTGCACTTGATCATGTCGCGATATTATCGCAAATGCGATATATCGTTCAGCCCTACCCAGACAGTAACACGCCACACCAGTTTCATGACAAGATGTTTTCTATTCTGCATGACAGATTGTTTGCAAACATCCCAGACTCCAGCTCTATCATTTCAGCTTCATTTTTCTGCAGGGGAGTATTGTGACTCCAAAGCATTGTTTTAAAATTTTCATTCAAGGTTTCTGAACTGAGGAAAAACTACTGAGCTGAAATATAGCAAAAAAAAGTGTATAAAAGGATAGCAAGAAGCATCTTGGATTGTAAATAATTCCACAAAACATACCATATGGAGAATCTTTTAGGATGAAGGACCCCACCCTCTTTACACAAGCATGTTGTACAGCAGCTGGATGTGACACTAGCGATATCAGGCTCATCCAATGAACCACTGTAGACACCACCAGCCTCACTGCAGAGGCCTGACATCACTTCCTCAAAATAAATCATGACATCATCGCTGAGCTGACACAGCCCCTCTCACTCGGCTGGATCCGTGCCGAGCAGGCCCCAGCCTAGTCATGTGATGTGCAAGCTCTAGGATCCTGTTGATTTTCATACGGCGCGCGGGGAAGTCCCGCCTCCTTTCTCCTCCTGTGCTGTGCAGGAAGACCCTGCATCTCTCCCCCTCTCCTCTCTCCCACTGCTGTGTTGATGCTGATGGAAGCACGAATAATCCTCCCTCCCTCTCTTCCCCTACATCCCTCCCACCCTCTCCTCCTCACTCACCAGAGACAGTGCACGGTATATAGCCTGCCTGCTGCTGCCATGGAAACAGGTGTGGTTGTTTATGACAGTGAGAGGCCAGTATGCAGGGAGATAGAGAGACAGAGAGGCATACAGAGGCAGGGAAAGGGAAATAAAGAGCAAGATTTACTGACCAGGTCGATGTACCAGTGATTACATGTGGATGGAATAAAATCACTCTTCTTTAAAGGTACGATGTCTTGTCTCGATTGCAGCAGTGTTAGTTCATTGATGTTCGTCTCGTAACACAGAGACTGAGCTGAGGTGCAGCAGCAGGGCGAAGTGCATGTACAATGTGCAGTGCTCATACATTGACGTTAACCCCTCAGATCCTTGTCTGGTACTTCATCATTCCTCATCACATTTCCCACCTTCCTCTGCAGCGGGCTATCACTGCCCCTGCTAATGGCCATAAGTTCATAAGTTCAGAGTCACTAAGAGGAAAGAAGGAGGGACACAAAAAAAGAGAGAAAGACAGAGAACAACAAGGTTGCTCCATGCTCTGCTGGAGAGGGAGATGGACCATGGCTAATCTTAAAGACGTTGTATTATTTATTTAAAAAGCCGTGAAGCTAAAGCTGCACTCACAGTCGCAGTCTAGAGACTGGATTCTGCATTGATCTGCAAGCATCTACGGCAAAAGCTACGGCTTGTTACTTTTCTTCCTTTCCCCCCTGCGCATTTCTCTCCGGTCCTGGTTGATCTCGCCGTACTGGATGTGCGCTCAATATTTCCCAATGGTGATTAATCCTCCGAGCTGCCGCACGGAGCTGAGTAGAACGCTTCTGATTTCACCGACAGATACTGCAGTTGCTCTCAGTCAGACCAAAGAGCTTTTTCCATTCTTGGTTTATCTCACTATATCTTTCAGTTCCTCCCCCCCTTTCAGTCTCTGTGTCTGTATTTCTCTTTAAATCTTTTACCCTCCATTTGTTTCCTGGACTCTTTTCTTTAGCTCAGATTTATTTGCAGCATGCAACTTTTGGACATGCCAGTCCTGGTTTTGAGGTGTGTCTCCTCCGCGTGTTTGTGTGCAGGACACCAAAATTGCCTCTCTGGAACGCAACATTCGGGATCTGGAGGATGAGATTCAAATGCTGAAGGCAAACGGCTTACTGAACACAGAGGACAGAGAAGAGGAAATCAAACAGATGGAGGTCTACAAGAACCACTCTAAGTTTATGAAGACGAAGGTAGAGACTAACTGCACTGTGCATGCAGATCTGATGCTGTTAAAGTATGGCTTAATATAAAATGGCAGGCATGATGTTCAGGGTACAGAGCTGTGCAGAAGAGAGAGTACTGAAAAATGTTGTGTTACATAAATGAGCTGCTTTAACACATAGTGAGAACAGCAAAGTGCCCTGTCGGCAAAAAATCTGAAAGAGGCTCCGTGCCAAAAGTGGGGAAAAATCCAAACTTTGCAAACGCATACTTTAACATTTGAAAACACTTTTCTTCCTTAATTACACATAAAAAGTACATCACTTTATTAATCTGTGGCCACAAGACAAACACAAGTCTAAAATAAGATAAGCCACAATGAAAGCTTTGTTTTTGTTGAACTGACTTCCGCTGCTTGTTTTCCGACCGGTCCGTGATGATAAGTTGTGTTTGCATATCAGAGTTAGAGTCATACACTCAAGCACAGCCACCTACAACCTGTGATAGTGTCAAGGTGTGTGTGTCTGTGACTTTCTGGGGCTCACGTACGTGTCTTTGGAGTGTTTACGTTTTCTCTCCCTATTAAGCGACCAGCCACAGTTTTGTTCTTCTATTTTTAGACTTCTTTTCATCAATCATGAATAGAAATGATGTATAATATATGATGAATGCAGGGGAGTTAGTCCCAAATGCATATTTAATGAGGGAGAAGCGTGTTGATGAAAATAGTGCGAAAGCTGTGCAGACTAGCTCGCGGTTCCCATTCGTGAGCGTGAAATCGTTACACTGCTCACGTAACGGTTGGGTCAAAATGATCTGCTTCCTCTCATGTACAGATTGACCAGTTGAAGCAGGAGTTGTCAAAGAAAGAGTCAGAACTGCTGGCTCTGCAGACGAAGCTAGAGACCCTCAACAACCAGAACTCAGACTGCAAACAGCATATCGAGGTGCTCAAAGAGTCTCTCACTGCCAAGGAGCAACGTGCTGCCATCCTGCAAACGGAGGTAATAAAACAAGTTCAACTTATTTGTACACGTACAATAAATTAACTTAACAATACATCGCTTCACAAACATTCTCAAGCTCCTAGCCAAACTGAGCAAATAATAGGCTCGCCCTGGGCCCGAGGCTTATTACAGCAAATCATATCAGCAGAGTGTTTGCTTTGAAAGCTTTGTAGTAAGTGAAGTGCAACCTAGGTCACTACCAATGAAAAACTGTTGCCCAGTGTACTGTCACAGCTCATAGACCAGAAAACATCACAGATCTGCAGTAATAAATAAATAACTGTGGTGAATTATTAAAATACTTCCCTAATAAATACTCATCCAGCACCTTTTTTACTTTAGGGTTACTATAAGTTATTAAATCAAAGTGCTTTTAACTATAATGGTACACTTGGGATAATTAGTCCACTTTGTGTGCTTCCTCTGACATGTATTAATGTGCTTTAGGTTGACGCTTTACGTCTACGTCTGGAGGAGAAAGAGTCCTTCTTGAACAAGAAAACCAAGCAGCTGCAAGACCTGACGGAGGAGAAGGGTACTCTTGCCGGAGAAATCAGGGACATGAAGGACATGCTTGAGGTTCAAAGAAAGAAAGATTAATGTCCTGCAGAAAAAGGTGAGAATGGAAGGAAAGAAGACCTCACCATGTAGAAACATTAGGGAGGAAATACACTTTAGCCACAATTTTGGCTTGCCTACATTACTCTGCTTTAGAGTTATTGTTTATTTTTTTGTCTACAACACACTGTATTGTGGAGGCATGTCTAATTACTCCAGATTTAGTCACAAATTTGAAATGAACAGCGACTGTGTGGGTTGTTTCGTCACATTTCCGTGTCCTGGACTAAACCAGTCGCTCTGTGGAAATATAAAGCTGGGAGGTTACTCTGTCCATGAAGTGTGAGAGAGTCTCATGCTCTCAGGGGAAAATGCCCACAGAAAGACAAGCAAGAAGATATTTCTGCCTCACTGGCTCTCATTTGTGTGTGCTATAAATACTCACAGAGTGTTACTCCATATCGCACCCAGACCTGCTCTCCCGTTTTGTTTTTCTTCTCTTGTGTCTGATCACACACCCCTCTCTCTCTCTCTCTCTCTCTCTCTCTCTCTCTCTCTCTCTCTCTCTCTCATCTTTGCACTTTTATCTGTTTCATCATTTTTATTAATTATGAATCATTGTTTTCTCCTGTCTTATCATAAATAAAATACCTTAATTCAGTCCTGCACTGCTCAGATAGCAGTTTGGTATATATTCAGGTTTACATTAAGTTCTGCTTTTCAAAACTTAAAGGTCTTATAGTTTTTGATGTATTTCTTCTCACATTGTACACAGTGTTGCTTATGTAGTGTGTTAAGCTTCAGAGACTTAAAAAATGGTAGATATACCGACTTTAAATGTTGCGCTGGTTTGGAGATCGTGCTTTTTATTGTGTGTTTTGCTCCTTGTTTTTTCTTATTTTTCCGAGTCAGATTGAGAACCTGCAGGAGCAGCTGCGGGACAAAGACAAGCAGCTGGGGAACCTCAAGGACAGGGTCAAGTCTCTGCAGACCGACTCTAGTAACACAGACACTGCCCTGGCCACCCTGGAAGAGGCGCTGTCAGAGAAGGTAGATCACGCCACCCTTATACCACAGAACCCGTAACACTGTCTGAACTGTGACACTTTATCTGTTTGTAGTTACTATCATATCATCAAAAGGATGTATATAGTGGAAGGAATTCCAGGTGACTTTTTCAGACAATCATTCATTCAAAATCCAGGATGTGAATGACCTCTTTTTTTCTTGTATGCTCTCAAGAAGACCACAAGGACCAAACATTAGCATCATTATCGACAAGAAATTGAGATTAGCAAACTTTTTTCCTGACGTTTTATATCTCTGTTAGGCCGCAGTAACACAGTCCTAAGCAAACTTGTATTCCCTGACCGACTGGTAAATGGTTGCTGGCTGTCGCTAAGTGATACTGATCACAAAGAGGATGCTGCACCGAAAACCTCCTTGTGGTTGTTTTGGTCACTAGCAGATTGGCACATTGCCAGCGTTTGTATGGGTGGCTCCAACTTGTCTGCAACATTTTCTCTCTGGGCTCTAGTGAAATTTGAACACACTGCAAGTGCCACACAGAGTAGAAAAGGAGCTTGTTCGCCATCAGTTCAATTAAATTCAGTTCGATTCAATTTTATTTATATAGTGCCAATTCAACAACAATCACCTCAAAGTGCTTTATATTGTACGCTAATATTAGAGAGAAGCTATCTGCTGTGACTGGGGGTGAGGAAAAAGAGAAGATAAAACACATTTATTTATTTAATTTAGTAAAAGTTACACTCTTTAAAGAGAATAATGTAAGCTCATAGATACTTGAACTTTAGAGTTGCTCATAAGGGGAATTTAAAGAGACACAAACAGAAATGCTTCCTCTTATTTCCAGACTTCATATTAAGCTTAGTCAGCTGGTAGCTGGTGAAATTCCCACATATGTTAAACCTTTCCTCTAAATGAACCATGTTAGTAAAAATTCTTGTTTTCTGCTTCTTCTTCTTATTTTTTTTTAAACAACTACAAGTTGCGTCTAGTTGCTGTGGAGTGATTGTACAGAACTTCTGAAATTGTGACGAGATCAGATTTGTACTTGTGCAGAAAGAAGTGTGAATAGTATAAAATATTAAAACATTTATTATTACATTCTGTTATTACATTCCTTGATATCAAAGAGGAGAGATGAAGCCACATGTCGCAGCAGGGCGACTGTGCCCTGCTCTGCACTAAGGCTGTTTGTGAAGCCCATCATGGTGCTTTAAAAAGCTCGATCGGGTTTGACTTTTCTTAATCCTCCTAAAAATCGTGGAACCTCACCAAATACCAGTAGTAACTCTATTACAGTTCATAGATTTATGTATAATTGAGGAAATAGCTGATGTAATCCTCTAGCTGCATTAGATATCATTATTTCTTTCCTGCACTAGTGTTTTATTCAATATTTAGGTAACCGGATTTTGATGATTACATCTTTATTTATAAAAACATACAAGGAAAAAATAACAAAGTAGCACTGGGGTAAAATTCCAGGCACGGTATCTAGCTTCATTCAGCATTTTAGCTTAATTTTAGTCTAATTTCTTAATAACTGTATTTTTCATGTGTGATATTAATTTCACATAACTAGAGACATTTGTTTTTTAAAAGGAATGAACTGATACAAATCTCTGATTTGAGCTGGAACAATCTTAAATGAACATCTCAGCAGTTTAATGTTTATATAGACTCTTAACCGTTCAGTCATATGAAGAGTTTTAATTCTTTGTGCTTCTGTGTGTTAGGAGAGGATTATTGAGCGCTTGAAGGACCAAAGGGAGAGAGAAGACAGAGAACGACTGGAAGAAGTGGAATCATATAAGAAAGAGAACAAGGAATTGAAGGAGAAGGTGAACAGCCTGCAGATAGAACTAACAGAAAAGGAGGTCAGTGAGCAAAGAGATTTTCTCTATAAGGCTACAGGGCTGTGTACACATGACTGTGTCCTTCTCTTTGCTGCAGAGCATGCACCTTTTTTATGCACAGCAAATATTGAAACACTATCTTTCAGTAGGGCTTTAGGTGCCATTTAAGCAGTCGCCTCAGGCGCTGTAACTTTGTTGCACATGCTGGCACTCTGCTGGCCTGCCTGGTTTGAAGCGCTGCTAACTGTCTGTCCTGACTACTCACCTGCAGTCCAGTCTCATCGATCTGAAAGAACACGCATCATCCCTGGCATCCTCTGGCCTCAAGAAGGATTCAAAGCTCAAGTCACTGGAGATTGCAATTGAGCAGAAAAAAGAGGAATGTAGTAAGTTGGAGACACAGTTACAGAAGGTAGGTGTGCATCTCTCACCACCGAATCACCTCGCACACTATAATGCAAAATTTTAATTTAGATTTTAAGAGACGAGCAATTCACAGTTTTTAACCTGTAGAGAATTTTTCAGCAGGTTGTTTTGAAAGAAGTAATTACAGATTATGGTTCCCACAGCCATCTATATTAAAAGACGGCTTATCTAATGCACATTTTTACACAGTTACTTTTTGCAGCCAATCCTAATTATCCAGTTTTTTTGGTTTTAAAGATCTGTTGTGCTTCAGTTAGAGGGAAATCAAATAAAGGTGGAAAAGTCGGAAATCCTGAATTGGGGTCAAACAGTGTAGTAAAGCTAGCATTACACCACACAGACTCATACAAGTTTGCACGCGTTGGGAAAACGACACCGCAACAAGTTTCATGTTGGAGCTGCTGCTAAGCTTTTGATTGTGCTATTCAATCTCTATATAAAGTTAAGCAATTTCATGTGCTCAGGAAACCTGTGTTTAACAGCTCGAAAGCAGCCATGTTCTGGACTTTAACACTGGTTAACACTGTTTTGCTATCAGTGATCCACTGTGAAGAAAGAACTTAAAAATGAGCCTAATGCTACTCTTACTGAAGGTCATATATAAATGATGACTTTCCGCTGATGATTTCAGAAATGTCTGGATGAAAGCTGACCATTTTAGCAGTCAGTACGGCAACATTTTCTATGGATGTCTCTTTGTCTGAATTGCAGAGAGCTTCTGTACTCTGAATGAAGACTGCAGCAATGTCTCTCTTTAATTGCACTGAATTGTAGATAAGAAGCCAGAGCTGAGTGTCCACTGCGAAGAAAGGAATGAGCTCATTGTGAATTCAGGGACCACTTCAGTGGAGACTGTTAAGCAGTTACAGACATAAGAAAAAAAGGCTACTTTCCTTTTGTAGAAATGATTGGCCAAATTAACGTGCAGTGTATTTTCTCTGTTCATATTTTCCTGCTGGTCTGATCTTGGCTTGTGTCATTGAGGGAAGATTAAGTATGATCACAGATTATTTAGTGAAGACAGCTCTGTCCCATTTAAAAATTAAAGTAGCAGTAAAGAAACAAGAATACCGAGGTCTCACTTCTGAGAACATGTTATCCTTCATTAGGCTGTTTCTTTGGACCTGAACAAGAAATGTGAACAGACCTTATATAAAGCACACTTCATTAGGCTAATGGCTGCCATCGTGCTTTGTCTCCTGTAACAGGCAGCCATGCTTTTTAAGGGTGTTGCAAGTAGCAGGCAGTCATTAAATATCCCTCTTTGCCTTCTTCTTCTCCTTCTTGAGACTATCGCTGTATCATCTCTTCCTCTGTGTTTGTCTCTGTTGTGTTGCCGTTAGCCTAACAACATGTGTACTATGTTACTTATCTGTCAAACATGTATTGTACCATGTCTGATCCTGCTGTTCTCTCTTTGGCTCAAACTCAATCCTGACATTTACTCTCCCGGGACTCCCCCGTCTCCCTCCTGTTCCTTCCTCAAACCCTCTGTTTGCAATGTAGCAAGCTGAGCAGCTATTCAGTCACATGAACACTCCTGTAAGTCCCTCTCCTGAGCTCTCTGAGGCACATATTGAAAGCATGAGGACACTGATAACTTCCTTGAAATATGCTAGATGGTGATCGTGCCAAACCCCAGCACAGGTCCTGCTTTCACCCACCCAGGATGCATGTTGTTCATTGCACTGTACTGATATAATGAGCTGCAGTCAGAGTCCTGTGCACTGTGTGCTCATCCTGTAACTGTTTGTGATATGTGGTGAAACTGGTGCTGCATATAAACACACACACACACACACACACACACACACACACACACACACACACACGTACTGCTCACAAAGCAGTTGTGCAAACATAAACAAGAGTCAATATTACTGTTTAACATTTCAGCTGTTGTGGCTCGCTTGACAGATGGCCAGCTACCCCAGACAGTAACACGCCACACCAGTTTCATGACAAGATGTTTTCTATTCTGCATGACAGATTGTTTGCAAACATCCCAGACTCCAGCTCTATCATTTCAGCTTCATTTTTCTGCAGGGGAGTATTGTGACTCCAAAGCATTGTTTTAAAATTTTCATTCAAGGTTTCTGAACTGAGGAAAAACTACTGAGCTGAAATATAGCAAAAAAAAGTGTATAAAAGGATAGCAAGAAGCATCTTGGATTGTAAATAATTCCACAAAACATACCATATGGAGAATCTTTTAGGATGAAGGACCCCACCCTCTTTACACAAGCATGTTGTACAGCAGCTGGATGTGACACTAGCGATATCAGGCTCATCCAATGAACCACTGTAGACACCACCAGCCTCACTGCAGAGGCCTGACATCACTTCCTCAAAATAAATCATGACATCATCGCTGAGCTGACACAGCCCCTCTCACTCGGCTGGATCCGTGCCGAGCAGGCCCCAGCCTAGTCATGTGATGTGCAAGCTCTAGGATCCTGTTGATTTTCATACGGCGCGCGGGGAAGTCCCGCCTCCTTTCTCCTCCTGTGCTGTGCAGGAAGACCCTGCATCTCTCCCCCTCTCCTCTCTCCCACTGCTGTGTTGATGCTGATGGAAGCACGAATAATCCTCCCTCCCTCTCTTCCCCTACATCCCTCCCACCCTCTCCTCCTCACTCACCAGAGACAGTGCACGGTATATAGCCTGCCTGCTGCTGCCATGGAAACAGGTGTGGTTGTTTATGACAGTGAGAGGCCAGTATGCAGGGAGATAGAGAGACAGAGAGGCATACAGAGGCAGGGAAAGGGAAATAAAGAGCAAGATTTACTGACCAGGTCGATGTACCAGTGATTACATGTGGATGGAATAAAATCACTCTTCTTTAAAGGTACGATGTCTTGTCTCGATTGCAGCAGTGTTAGTTCATTGATGTTCGTCTCGTAACACAGAGACTGAGCTGAGGTGCAGCAGCAGGGCGAAGTGCATGTACAATGTGCAGTGCTCATACATTGACGTTAACCCCTCAGATCCTTGTCTGGTACTTCATCATTCCTCATCACATTTCCCACCTTCCTCTGCAGCGGGCTATCACTGCCCCTGCTAATGGCCATAAGTTCATAAGTTCAGAGTCACTAAGAGGAAAGAAGGAGGGACACAAAAAAAGAGAGAAAGACAGAGAACAACAAGGTTGCTCCATGCTCTGCTGGAGAGGGAGATGGACCATGGCTAATCTTAAAGACGTTGTATTATTTATTTAAAAAGCCGTGAAGCTAAAGCTGCACTCACAGTCGCAGTCTAGAGACTGGATTCTGCATTGATCTGCAAGCATCTACGGCAAAAGCTACGGCTTGTTACTTTTCTTCCTTTCCCCCCTGCGCATTTCTCTCCGGTCCTGGTTGATCTCGCCGTACTGGATGTGCGCTCAATATTTCCCAATGGTGATTAATCCTCCGAGCTGCCGCACGGAGCTGAGTAGAACGCTTCTGATTTCACCGACAGATACTGCAGTTGCTCTCAGTCAGACCAAAGAGCTTTTTCCATTCTTGGTTTATCTCACTATATCTTTCAGTTCCTCCCCCCCTTTCAGTCTCTGTGTCTGTATTTCTCTTTAAATCTTTTACCCTCCATTTGTTTCCTGGACTCTTTTCTTTAGCTCAGATTTATTTGCAGCATGCAACTTTTGGACATGCCAGTCCTGGTTTTGAGGTGTGTCTCCTCCGCGTGTTTGTGTGCAGGACACCAAAATTGCCTCTCTGGAACGCAACATTCGGGATCTGGAGGATGAGATTCAAATGCTGAAGGCAAACGGCTTACTGAACACAGAGGACAGAGAAGAGGAAATCAAACAGATGGAGGTCTACAAGAACCACTCTAAGTTTATGAAGACGAAGGTAGAGACTAACTGCACTGTGCATGCAGATCTGATGCTGTTAAAGTATGGCTTAATATAAAATGGCAGGCATGATGTTCAGGGTACAGAGCTGTGCAGAAGAGAGAGTACTGAAAAATGTTGTGTTACATAAATGAGCTGCTTTAACACATAGTGAGAACAGCAAAGTGCCCTGTCGGCAAAAAATCTGAAAGAGGCTCCGTGCCAAAAGTGGGGAAAAATCCAAACTTTGCAAACGCATACTTTAACATTTGAAAACACTTTTCTTCCTTAATTACACATAAAAAGTACATCACTTTATTAATCTGTGGCCACAAGACAAACACAAGTCTAAAATAAGATAAGCCACAATGAAAGCTTTGTTTTTGTTGAACTGACTTCCGCTGCTTGTTTTCCGACCGGTCCGTGATGATAAGTTGTGTTTGCATATCAGAGTTAGAGTCATACACTCAAGCACAGCCACCTACAACCTGTGATAGTGTCAAGGTGTGTGTGTCTGTGACTTTCTGGGGCTCACGTACGTGTCTTTGGAGTGTTTACGTTTTCTCTCCCTATTAAGCGACCAGCCACAGTTTTGTTCTTCTATTTTTAGACTTCTTTTCATCAATCATGAATAGAAATGATGTATAATATATGATGAATGCAGGGGAGTTAGTCCCAAATGCATATTTAATGAGGGAGAAGCGTGTTGATGAAAATAGTGCGAAAGCTGTGCAGACTAGCTCGCGGTTCCCATTCGTGAGCGTGAAATCGTTACACTGCTCACGTAACGGTTGGGTCAAAATGATCTGCTTCCTCTCATGTACAGATTGACCAGTTGAAGCAGGAGTTGTCAAAGAAAGAGTCAGAACTGCTGGCTCTGCAGACGAAGCTAGAGACCCTCAACAACCAGAACTCAGACTGCAAACAGCATATCGAGGTGCTCAAAGAGTCTCTCACTGCCAAGGAGCAACGTGCTGCCATCCTGCAAACGGAGGTAATAAAACAAGTTCAACTTATTTGTACACGTACAATAAATTAACTTAACAATACATCGCTTCACAAACATTCTCAAGCTCCTAGCCAAACTGAGCAAATAATAGGCTCGCCCTGGGCCCGAGGCTTATTACAGCAAATCATATCAGCAGAGTGTTTGCTTTGAAAGCTTTGTAGTAAGTGAAGTGCAACCTAGGTCACTACCAATGAAAAACTGTTGCCCAGTGTACTGTCACAGCTCATAGACCAGAAAACATCACAGATCTGCAGTAATAAATAAATAACTGTGGTGAATTATTAAAATACTTCCCTAATAAATACTCATCCAGCACCTTTTTTACTTTAGGGTTACTATAAGTTATTAAATCAAAGTGCTTTTAACTATAATGGTACACTTGGGATAATTAGTCCACTTTGTGTGCTTCCTCTGACATGTATTAATGTGCTTTAGGTTGACGCTTTACGTCTACGTCTGGAGGAGAAAGAGTCCTTCTTGAACAAGAAAACCAAGCAGCTGCAGGACCTGACGGAGGAGAAGGGTACTCTCGCCGGAGAAATCAGGGACATGAAGGACATGCTTGAGGTCAAAGAAAGAAAGATTAATGTCCTGCAGAAAAAGGTGAGAATGGAAGGAAAGAAGACCTCACCATGTAGAAACATTAGGGAGGAAATACACTTTAGCCACAATTTTGGCTTGCCCACATTACTCTGCTTTAGAGTTATTGTTTATTTTTTTGTCTACAACACACTGTATTGTGGAGGCATGTCTAATTACTCCAGATTTAGTCACAAATTTGAAATGAACAGCGACTGTGTGGGTTGTTTCGTCACATTTCCGTGTCCTGGACTAAACCAGTCGCTCTGTGGAAATATAAAGCTGGGAGGTTACTCTGTCCATGAAGTGTGAGAGAGTCTCATGCTCTCAGGGGAAAATGCCCACAGAAAGACAAGCAAGAAGATATTTCTGCCTCACTGGCTCTCATTTGTGTGTGCTATAAATACTCACAGAGTGTTACTCCATATCGCACCCAGACCTGCTCTCCCGTTTTGTTTTTCTTCTCTTGTGTCTGATCACACACCCCTCTCTCTCTCTCTCTCTCTCTCTCTCTCTCTCTCTCTCTCTCTCTCTCTCTCTCTCTCTCCTTCTCTCACCCTCGCACTTTTATCTGTTTCATCATTTTTATTAATTATGAATCATTGTTTTCTCCTGTCTTATCATAAATAAAATACCTTAATTCAGTCCTGCACTGCTCAGATAGCAGTTTGGTATATATTCAGGTTTACATTAAGTTCTGCTTTTCAAAACTTAAAGGTCTTATAGTTTTTGATGTATTTCTTCTCACATTGTACACAGTGTTGCTTATGTAGTGTGTTAAGCTTCAGAGACTTAAAAAATGGTAGATATACCGACTTTAAATGTTGCGCTGGTTTGGAGATCGTGCTTTTTATTGTGTGTTTTGCTCCTTGTTTTTTCTTATTTTTCCGAGTCAGATTGAGAACCTGCAGGAGCAGCTGCGGGACAAAGACAAGCAGCTGGGGAACCTCAAGGACAGGGTCAAGTCTCTGCAGACCGACTCCAGTAACACAGACACTGCCCTGGCCACCCTGGAAGAGGCGCTGTCAGAGAAGGTAGATCACGCCACCCTTATACCACAGAACCCGTAACACTGTCTGAACTGTGACACTTTATCTGTTTGTAGTTACTATCATATCATCAAAAGGATGTATATAGTGGAAGGAATTCCAGGTGACTTTTTCAGACAGTCATTCATTCAAAATCCAGGATGTGAATGACCTCTTTTTTTCTTGTATGCTCTCAAGAAGACCACAAGGACCAAACATTAGCATCATTATCGACAAGAAATTGAGATTAGCAAACTTTTTTCCTGACGTTTTATATCTCTGTTAGGCCGCAGTAACACAGTCCTAAGCAAACTTGTATTCCCTGACCGACTGGTAAATGGTTGCTGGCTGTCGCTAAGTGATACTGATCACAAAGAGGATGCTGCACCGAAAACCTCCTTGTGGTTGTTTTGGTCACTAGCAGATTGGCACATTGCCAGCGTTTGTATGGGTGGCTCCAACTTGTCTGCAACATTTTCTCTCTGGGCTCTAGTGAAATTTGAACACACTGCAAGTGCCACACAGAGTAGAAAAGGAGCTTGTTCGCCATCAGTTCAATTAAATTCAGTTCGATTCAATTTTATTTATATAGTGCCAATTCAACAACAATCACCTCAAAGTGCTTTATATTGTACGCTAATATTAGAGAGAAGCTATCTGCTGTGACTGGGGGTGAGGAAAAAGAGAAGATAAAACACATTTATTTATTTAATTTAGTAAAAGTTACACTCTTTAAAGAGAATAATGTAAGCTCATAGATACTTGAACTTTAGAGTTGCTCATAAGGGGAATTTAAAGAGACACAAACAGAAATGCTTCCTCTTATTTCCAGACTTCATATTAAGCTTAGTCAGCTGGTAGCTGGTGAAATTCCCACATATGTTAAACCTTTCCTCTAAATGAACCATGTTAGTAAAAATTCTTGTTTTCTGCTTCTTCTTCTTATTTTTTTTTAAACAACTACAAGTTGCGTCTAGTTGCTGTGGAGTGATTGTACAGAACTTCTGAAATTGTGACGAGATCAGATTTGTACTTGTGCAGAAAGAAGTGTGAATAGTATAAAATATTAAAACATTTATTATTACATTCTGTTATTACATTCCTTGATATCAAAGAGGAGAGATGAAGCCACATGTCGCAGCAGGGCGACTGTGCCCTGCTCTGCACTAAGGCTGTTTGTGAAGCCCATCATGGTGCTTTAAAAAGCTCGATCGGGTTTGACTTTTCTTAATCCTCCTAAAAATCGTGGAACCTCACCAAATACCAGTAGTAACTCTATTACAGTTCATAGATTTATGTATAATTGAGGAAATAGCTGATGTAATCCTCTAGCTGCATTAGATATCATTATTTCTTTCCTGCACTAGTGTTTTATTCAATATTTAGGTAACCGGATTTTGATGATTACATCTTTATTTATAAAAACATACAAGGAAAAAATAACAAAGTAGCACTGGGGTAAAATTCCAGGCACGGTATCTAGCTTGATTCAGCATTTTAGCTTAATTTTAGTCTAATTTCTTAATAACTGTATTTTTCATGTGTGATATTAATTTCACATAACTAGAGACATTTGTTTTTTAAAAGGAATGAACTGATACAAATCTCTGATTTGAGCTGGAACAATCTTAAATGAACATCTCAGCAGTTTAATGTTTATATAGACTCTTAACCGTTCAGTCATATGAAGAGTTTTAATTCTTTGTGCTTCTGTGTGTTAGGAGAGGATTATTGAGCGCTTGAAGGACCAAAGGGAGAGAGAAGACAGAGAACGACTGGAAGAAGTGGAATCATATAAGAAAGAGAACAAGGAATTGAAGGAGAAGGTGAACAGCCTGCAGATAGAACTAACAGAAAAGGAGGTCAGTGAGCAAAGAGATTTTCTCTATAAGGCTACAGGGCTGTGTACACATGACTGTGTCCTTCTCTTTGCTGCAGAGCATGCACCTTTTTTATGCACAGCAAATATTGAAACACTATCTTTCAGTAGGGCTTTAGGTGCCATTTAAGCAGTCGCCTCAGGCGCTGTAACTTTGTTGCACATGCTGGCACTCTGCTGGCCTGCCTGGTTTGAAGCGCTGCTAACTGTCTGTCCTGACTACTCACCTGCAGTCCAGTCTCATCGATCTGAAAGAACACGCATCATCCCTGGCATCCTCTGGCCTCAAGAAGGATTCAAAGCTCAAGTCACTGGAGATTGCAATTGAGCAGAAAAAAGAGGAATGTAGTAAGTTGGAGACACAGTTACAGAAGGTAGGTGTGCATCTCTCACCACCGAATCACCTCGCACACTATAATGCAAAATTTTAATTTAGATTTTAAGAGACGAGCAATTCACAGTTTTTAACCTGTAGAGAATTTTTCAGCAGGTTGTTTTGAAAGAAGTAATTACAGATTATGGTTCCCACAGCCATCTATATTAAAAGACGGCTTATCTAATGCACATTTTTACACAGTTACTTTTTGCAGCCAATCCTAATTATCCAGTTTTTTTGGTTTTAAAGATCTGTTGTGCTTCAGTTAGAGGGAAATCAAATAAAGGTGGAAAAGTCGGAAATCCTGAATTGGGGTCAAACAGTGTAGTAAAGCTAGCATTACACCACACAGACTCATACAAGTTTGCACGTGTTGGGAAAACGACACCGCAACAAGTTTCATGTTGGAGCTGCTGCTAAGCTTTTGATTGTGCTATTCAATCTCTATATAAAGTTAAGCAATTTCATGTGCTCAGGAAACCTGTGTTTAACAGCTCGAAAGCAGCCATGTTCTGGACTTTAACACTGGTTAACACTGTTTTGCTATCAGTGATCCACTGTGAAGAAAGAACTTAAAAATGAGCCTAATGCTACTCTTACTGAAGGTCATATATAAATGATGACTTTCCGCTGATGATTTCAGAAATGTCTGGATGAAAGCTGACCATTTTAGCAGTCAGTACGGCAACATTTTCTATGGATGTCTCTTTGTCTGAATTGCAGAGAGCTTCTGTACTCTGAATGAAGACTGCAGCAATGTCTCTCTTTAATTGCACTGAATTGTAGATAAGAAGCCAGAGCTGAGTGTCCACTGCGAAGAAAGGAATGAGCTCATTGTGAATTCAGGGACCACTTCAGTGGAGACTGTTAAGCAGTTACAGACATAAGAAAAAAAGGCTACTTTCCTTTTGTAGAAATGATTGGCCAAATTAACGTGCAGTGTATTTTCTCTGTTCATATTTTCCTGCTGGTCTGATCTTGGCTTGTGTCATTGAGGGAAGATTAAGTATGATCACAGATTATTTAGTGAAGACAGCTCTGTCCCATTTAAAAATTAAAGTAGCAGTAAAGAAACAAGAATACCGAGGTCTCACTTCTGAGAACATGTTATCCTTCATTAGGCTGTTTCTTTGGACCTGAACAAGAAATGTGAACAGACCTTATATAAAGCACACTTCATTAGGCTAATGGCTGCCATCGTGCTTTGTCTCCTGTAACAGGCAGCCATGCTTTTTAAGGGTGTTGCAAGTAGCAGGCAGTCATTAAATATCCCTCTTTGCCTTCTTCTTCTCCTTCTTGAGACTATCGCTGTATCATCTCTTCCTCTGTGTTTGTCTCTGTTGTGTTGCCGTTAGCCTAACAACATGTGTACTATGTTACTTATCTGTCAAACATGTATTGTACCATGTCTGATCCTGCTGTTCTCTCTTTGGCTCAAACTCAATCCTGACATTTACTCTCCCGGGACTCCCCCGTCTCCCTCCTGTTCCTTCCTCAAACCCTCTGTTTGCAATGTAGCAAGCTGAGCAGCTATTCAGTCACATGAACACTCCTGTAAGTCCCTCTCCTGAGCTCTCTGAGGCACATATTGAAAGCATGAGGACACTGATAACTTCCTTGAAATATGCTAGATGGTGATCGTGCCAAACCCCAGCACAGGTCCTGCTTTCACCCACCCAGGATGCATGTTGTTCATTGCACTGTACTGATATAATGAGCTGCAGTCAGAGTCCTGTGCACTGTGTGCTCATCCTGTAACTGTTTGTGATATGTGGTGAAACTGGTGCTGCATATATGTAGAACCGAAGGCTTACTTAGTCTGCTGGAACGTGCTCAATATAGATTCTTCTGCCATTTTATTAAGTATATGTAGCTCAAACTAAAACAACAATCTTGCAATAAATTCTGTCTTTATGAGGGTTAATTTTATACAGCTGTTTATTGCCCTTTGTTGTAATTACATTTTACATGTAAAAGTCTTCCTATGATTTAGTATAGCCTCATTACACTGTGTCATGTAAGGACACACCTGGGATTAATTGCAGGACTGTTAGACTGCATTAGCTTTAACTATGTGTGAAGTTGTTGTTGTTTTTTTAAGTTTTGGCTTTGTAGATAGTTTTTTCGGTGGTTATACTTAATAAACTGTCATATTCTTCCACAGCACAAAAAAAACATTTAAATGTAACAAATTTTACATTTATGTAAAATTTTGTATCTATAGCTAAATTTAATGGTAATGTTTTTAGTCACTAAGGCCTCATCTGGGAAGTTGTGTGGCAACAGGAACCCATACATTCACTGAATTGTACAGGTTACACTGACCTCAAATGCAGCACACGTGTGTTTTGTCATAGAAGCTCATGTGAGGAATATGACAAATTAATAATAAACTTTTCATTGGACTTTCAGAGACTTTATGCAATTGAAGTCACAGGACATGGCATTCAAGTTTCCTCATATTTGGTGCACTTATAACCAGTGAAAAAAATTAAAAGAGGCAAACAGAGTGAACAAACCTTTCTTTAATACATATTTGTCATTGAATTATGTCTAAATATTACATTTTTAGCACAGAATTTCAGTTCAGTGTGTTTTAGCATCTCTGTGAAAATCCTCAAAAAATATCAAACTATTTGACAGTGAATTATAATATTGACATCCCCCCAACTTGATCCACTTTCGTGTATTTTGTGGATCTTGGCAATTTCAGAGGTTCTTAAACAAATGTTATAGATAAGGAAAACAGAATAAAAACACAGAATGCATTCAAATAAATAAAGTAATTGAACTGCAAAATCCTCAAATCATCAAGTGCTTCCTTCCTATAGCCTCCTATAAATGCTCTTCTGTAGTATACTGTTCATTGCAATATTTGCAGGGGCCATATGGAGGGCAATTTGTTGTCCAATAACTGTCTGTTGTAGTTATTTTTCATAAATTTCAACTAGGATTATTGGGTCTTAAATAAAATTATGTATATCTCCTCTAAGCTAAACTCTAGCATCGTTCCTCATGCATAAAATATGACAGTTAGAACAGATTTACTTGGTCACCCTTGCTTCTCTTTCTTCATTCTTTGGACTGACAATTGCAAAGACTGTGCAGCTTCGTTGGGTTTGCATGACTTGGTCGACCTTTGTGCATGTTGTCAGTATCAGTGTTGCCACGCTTCTCTTTTGTCTCAGTGTGGTGCTGTTAGCGAAGGTATCGGCCGTGGTTGAAGATCACTGCAGTGTTTTGGTGGATGGCTCTGTGTAACTCTGCGATATGTGTTAACATATGTGGCTGTGTATTGTCCAGGGTGCTGTGTACCACTGTAGTGGAGAGATGTCCTTGCTGTCCAAAAACTAGACCTCTGATTTTGATAGCCAGTGAATCAATTTAGTGCTTAATTATAATGATTTGTTATTATTGTCACAGACACACAAAACTCTCACAGACTATCCTGAAGTCCTGTATTCTGCTCCATGTGCATGAAGTGACCGGGAGTCTCAATGGACCATTTAATTGGAGCTAAATAATAGCTTTGTTAAAACTAATGAGCCAGTACCAGTAATGATGCCCTCATCCACAACATTTGCCTCGGCTTTATTCATTTGAAAGTACAGGGACAGTGCAAGAGACGTAGATAATATAAGTCACTGATGGACTACAGTGTACTGTATGTATCTCTCTTTCATTGACAGTAAAACGTTCTGCACTTCACACTTTTGTTGATACTGGGTTGTTATTTTTGTTAACTGTGTGTTTTTGGGCGTGTACATGTTTGTATTTGTCTTTTCTTGGCATGTTGATGCAGAAAGCCCATGAAGTGGAGCAGCAGTCGGGCTCCAGAGGGAACCCAGAGTATGTGGACCGGGTGAAACTGCTGGAAAAGGAGGTGAGCTACTACAAGGATGAAGCTAATAAGGCTCAGACAGAGGTGGAGAGACTGCTGGACATCCTGCGAGAGGTGGAAACCGAAAAGAATGATAAGGACAAGAAAATTGCTGAGTTGGAAAGGTAACTAATTCTAACTGTATATTAGCCTGCACTGCTTTAATCCTTCCCTTTTAACAAACACTCTGTTTTCTATGACCATTGTTACATCTATGAAGATAAAATTAGCATACCTGCCTGCAATTTTAGCAAACCTCTCAGGTAATTTAACATGTTTGCCTGAAAATGCCTGATACATCCATTCTTTGTTTATTTTTTAGCTCTCCACTTAGCTTCAATATATTTATATACAATATAAATATAGGGAATATAAAAACACAAAAAATGGGAGAAAACAAGTAAAGAAAAGGAAAAACAAACGTATCAATACATACATACATACGGTGTGTTTATTTCATGTATGATCATAGACTGTATATATAAAAGATGGATGTAGCAGGTTTAGGACACTAATAAAGGTGTTTCTTAAATCACCATTCTTTCTGTTGGCCAATTCAAAAAGAAATCCATTTGTAAAGGACTGCATGAGAAAAGGGCCTCATGAAAATGACATTTTCTTTATGAGTTTATTGTCTGTTTTATTAGTTTTAGCTCATATAAGATACAACATGAGATAAATTTTGTAAATTAGCGTCCCAAATAGAGAACAGGTCTGCTGGAAGTAAAATTATATGTGAAAAGTGGAAGTCCCCCTTTATGTTACTAAAAAAGAAAGAAAGAAAAAAATGGCCAAGGCCAAAATGCTCAAAACGTTGTGTATGATACAAAAAATAAATATAATTTTCTGTGGCTTGTTTCACATCATAACAAGTAACCCGGCATAAAGAGATGGTTTTAAATCTGCTACTCTCTATATCGCAAACAAAACCCCATTTATCTTCAGATAAATCAGGTTATTTTGTAATTTAGGTTACCCAACTCTCTAATGGTATTACCATAAGCAATACAGTGTGCCACTGTTTGTGCTGAGTAGCTCTGAGCAGTCTATTCTTAATCTGGATGCATCTGTTTGTCAGCTTTACAGTTCTCTGTGTTCAGTGTATGCTGGGCAAATGTCCATGTGGCTCTGTGCACATTTTCATAGTGTTTCCATGTTATGTTCAGTTGTGATGTTCTCATACTGCACTGCACTCGATGGTATTGGATAATGTGCTCTGTACACACAGTTTTGATTTACACGTTTAGGTTTTGTTTATAAATATCAGCAACGCTCCACTCAGCCACTTCTCTTTCGGAAGAGGTCATCTGAGTCCAGTTAATGGAGTGCAGAAATAAAGCAGGTGGCCTCTCTGGTTCTCTCCTGGGAGCAGTACTGCAAGTTTATTTGCACTTTGGTTTGTCTAATGAAGGGGATCATCGTCGTTTACCTGGACAGGATTCAGACGGATGAGACTAACATAGGGATTGGCTGATCTGCATGAGGACCACACAGCCCTTCTCCCCTGCCACTGCTTAGTGTTAAAGACACTTATATACTCCCTTCTCAGATCATTATAGGATTAATGTCGTGATACTTTGTTAGTGGTGTTTGATTAATTGCGTCTTCTTGTCCTTTTTTTTGCCATCTTTACCCACTTTTCTCCGTCCCATTTCCCTCTCTCTCTTCTGTACCATGCTCACCTGCCCCTCTCTTTACCCCTGGCCATGAATCAACTTTCAACCTACTTCTCTTCTGTTCTGAAATCTGATTCTGATTTTTCAAAATCTTTTCTTCATCTCCCTTGCAAATCTTTCTCTGTTTTGACACCAGCCCCCCTCCCCCCGCCCCCCGCCCTACCCCTCGTCCCGGTGGCAGAGCTCCCCCTGACCCGCTCCCTTCTGTGTCCACTGCTCCCCAGCAGATAGGGGGCATGGTGTGGGATTTCCTGGGAAAGTGAGTGCTCTGCCCTGGCACTTAAGGCTTGGCTGCGTGGTTCAAGTCTCCGACCGCGACTGCCGCAACTGCATCTGGTTTCACCTGTGTGCCTGGGTCTGCCTGCTGTTTGAAGGATTCAAAAATCTTTGTATCAGAGTTACACAGTCTGTTTTTAGTCCGTGGTGCCATTATTTTATTCGCGTACATGATACAAAGATCCCTGGATTCATTTTGATTTGATTTCTTTAGAATGTTTTTGCTTTCTAGTCTGCATCTGTGTCCGTGACTGCTTTTTGATCATTTAAAAGGAGCTTTTCTATGCATGTGACTGCGTGTGTGACTGTGTGTGTGTGTGTGCATGTATACATGTGTAAGGGAGAAGGAGTTTGTGCTGCATGTTTATTTTTGGGGCAGCAGTCATCATTAAAACTCATTTATCTGTGCACTGATGATGTAAAGTGGGAAAAAAAAGTCCACAAATATTTTGCTGCATGAGCAATCACAGCAAATTAAACAGCCATGTGAAATTTTAAGCAAATATGAAGTTCAAACCTTAAAGATCAAGGGTTGTACTTCATATAAATGCAAATCATCAGGTCATAATGTTGTGAATATATGTCCAGATAGGCATATATTGCTTGCCATTTAGTTGTACCACATGCTACACTCATTTTTTCCTGTTTTGGCGTGTTTCCGTGGTGATGCTTGGTAAAGTCACACAGTAAATTCAGTCACACCGGTGTTGCAGCAAACTGTCAATATAAAAATTGCAGTTTTAAAAGCAAATATTTTGTAATTTGTAACCCTAACTAAAAACGCATTGTATATACTGTAAATGTTTTAATACTAATAATACTGCAAATAATGCACACATCAGCACCTTTATCTATAAAACTTGGTGTGATTTACCCACTTGCTTTGACTTCTTTACTTTTTTTACATTTTATTTGAACTTGCTACACTTCCTTGTGTTCTTGTGGAAATAGCTTCCTGCTAACACACTTTAAGACACACAAATACACACCCTTTTGTGTCTTTTTGTGGCGTTGGTTGTTTGTAGTAGCTTATTGTATAAGTGTCTGCCCTCAGCTAATGTTTGCTGTTGCCACGAGCACGCTTCCCCTTCTCATTCCAGCCACCCATCTGCTCGCCTCACCCCAAGTCACCCTCTGTGACCCAGCCACCCTTGCACCCTCATATCCCATTAACACCACCTAACAGACCCTATTTTCTAGTGCCCCCTTCTTCCTGCTTTCCATCCCAACCTGCCCCCACGTGCCCTGCCTAGCTTGCTCTACGAGATACTAAAGGAAAAGATCAGCCCTAGTGGCCTGCATGAATAGAGCTGCTGTGCTCCACGTCTACACGCGCTCAGTGTGGGGTGCTGTAGTAGGTAGGGTCTGGACTGAGCCCTCAGTCGTGAAGTGTGTCAGTTCAGTCAGGTCTTTTCTGTCTGAACAACCCTGCATCCATAACTGATTCTCCCACTAGCTCCCTTCTTGCCCACTTGATCAAACCACCGTTGGCTTCCTCTCCTTTTGCTCGACTCTCAAACCTGTCCTCTCCTCTTATTTTTGCCCGGCTAACTTTTGCCTGACTAAATGCATGTCTGCCACTTCCAGGCTTGGCAGAAGATGCACATGGGCCCTTGTTTTCAGAGAAGGTGCATCCTGCATTAGCTGTGTCAGGCTGCAGAGCAGTGACTGCCACAGGCGTGTTTGTAATTTCCCATGTTGTTTGATGAGCAATGAACACAGCGTGATCTCCTCTGGGTTCACTGTACTTTTTTCTTGTGATTGTTTCTTTATGTTCTGGTTCTAATGTGTCTGTTTTGTTTGTTTTTTACTTTCCTGTGTGTTCTCTTATTTCCTGCTTCCAATGTCTACTTCACTCGTTCCATCAACCCCTTGTCTTCTGCCTTTTCCTTTCCCCATCTGCAGTCTAGCTCCCAGGTAAGTAATGCCCCTGCTCCCATTACATCCCCATTTCTTCCTAACTCCATCCTAACACTGGTGCTTAAACCTGTGATTTATCTCAGCAATGCAATTAACATGAAGCTATCGCTACATCTGTGATGCTCATGTTTTGTTGTTGTCCTGGTGATCTCATAAGCGGTACTATTTTGAAACTGAATACATTCAAAATGCACTTGACATGATCGCCCATTGCTGTACTGGCTTTGCTTGTTTTGTGTTTCACATTTTTGTTGTGGTTTTGGGTATAAAATGCACCCATTTCATAAGTCTACATATTTTTCATATAACTCTACTGACTTTTAATGGAAATGCACAAATTTTGTGGTTTTGCAGACAAGGGGGTAAAGATCAAGCTAAAAAGGGTTCAAACATCAAACTGGGGCTGCAAGGTGACAAGAAAGGCTTGGGACAGGACCCTCGTAAGGACAGCTCCATAGATGGTGGTCACCACTTGAAGGTGATGTACCCTAATAAAAAAAATATTTACCCCTGATGATACACAGTTTAGTAATTACCTAATGAGATATGTGTCCTTGTTTTCCCAAACGTCAGTTGGAGGAGCTAATGAACACGCTAGAAAGGACGAGGCAAGAGCTGGATGCCACCAAGCAGCGTCTCTCCTCCACACAGCAGTCTTTACAGGAGAGGGACACTCACCTCACCAACATGAGACAAGAACGCAGGAAACAGCTGGAGGAGATCCTTGAAATGAAGTTAGTGTTTTCTGAGATTTGCTGTTAGCAAAAATCAGATTGGCGGCCTACATTTTCAACCTCCTTTTTTAAAAAATGTTCTTGTAATTAAGCCTTGGATTAATTTCTTTTCTCAAAATGTAATCCAGCTCATTTGTTTTTGTCCTTCCCCACCGTCTTTATGAGAAGACAGCCGACATAGCACTGCTAAATTGAAATTTGATTTCATTATCAGAACAAAAAGTAATCTGAAATCCACCACGATGGTCACACTGATATTCAAAACAGTAGCCAATCTACCCAAAATGTCTGTGTAGGTTCTCAGTCATCCAGGTCATTGTAATCTAAGTTTCTTGAAGAGGTTTCACTTCTCATCCAGGAAGCTTCAGTTCTAAGACCAAATGGTGGAGAGTCCCAGTTTTTTTTTAAAGGGACAACTCCCACTAGGGAATACCTGGGGCTCTCCACCATTTGGTCTTAGAACTGAAGAAGCTTCTCTGAAGTGAAACCTCTTCAAGAAACTTAAAATAGTCCAATAATTTTTCTTCCCAAGCTCCTTAAATCTACCCAAAAGTCAATATGTGCTGCACATTCACCCTGAGGCCAGATAATGTCCAGAGAAATTGCAGAAAAAAACACAAAATCTCAGACTCTACAGGCCTTGGTTAGCTTGTTAAATGTTGAAGTTCATGACAGTATGGCTTGTATGGGAGAGCCAGAAGAAAGCTTCTTCCCTCAACAAAAGAACATGGCAGCACACATCGTAAAAGTGCATCTTAAGAAAAAACTGTCCTGGACAAATGAGATCAACGTGGCGATGTTTGCTAATAATAATTGGCACAAAGTTTGACAAAAACCAAACACAACATATCAGTACAAACACCTCATACCCTGTTAAAGTGTTAAAGCACAGTGTTGGTGGGGTGATGATTTTGGCTTGTTTTTCAGTCGCAGGGTCTGGGCACCTTGTAATCACTGAGTCGATCATGAGTACCTCTGTATATCAAAGTATTCTAGAGTCAAATGTGAGGCCTTCTATCTGATAGCTAAATCTTTCTGGAGATACTACTGTTGTGTTTTATGTTGTTTTTCTTTCAGACAACAAGCTCTGCTGGCAGCAATTAGTGAGAAAGATGCTAATATTGCACTGCTGGAACTGTCTGCCTCGAATAAAAAGAAGACCCAGGAGGAGGTGCTAGCCCTCAAGAGGGAGCGGGACAAACTGATGCACCAGCTCAAACAACATGTTAGTACTGCAGCATACTTCCAAGGAAATTTCTCTCTGCCGATGCTTGTTGCCAAAATAAAAAATGTAGCTGTACAAGTCAGCTAAACAATTTTCTACAAGGTTATCACTGCATGACCACTTTGCAAGTTCAGAGTCATTTTTCTGCTTTTATTTCTTAAGTCTTTGTTAATTCCAGACTAGTACTAAAATGAAGTGATGTCATTATCATCTCAATTTGCAAATAATTTGTGGCCGTAAACATCAGAGTTGAATAAGAAGTCTGTGCCTCCAAGACTTCAGTTTTGCAGCAGTCTCAAATATTCCGTTTTTTAATTTTTTTTTATTTTAAGCTAACTCAAATTTTAAAGCGTACAGCTCTAGTATGATTTACACACGTAAAATTCTGGCAGAGGCAATCTGGCCACTTTTCTGTCTCTAGTTTTTGTCTTATGTCACCTTGGAAGCACATAAACTGATCCTTGAACAGTGGATGGTCACCTGGAATCGTACTGTAGTTTAACCACAGACGGTATATAAAGAATGGAGGAAGCCTCTAGGCCTAAAGCCATTGTAGATGTGTCTAAGAGTTATACATTCTTTCTAACTGCCAGTAGGAGGTGAGACTTGTCGCTCATCTTAATCAGTAGTTTTAAGCCTTATTTAATACAACCTGATTTTTATGTTATGAATTAGGACAGCGACAGTTACTTTGTTACTGACAAGTTGCTGCCATGTACTGTAAGTGTGCAGTCTCCTCACTTCTGCCAACTGCAGAGCGTCATGCACTGACCTCTGCCCTCCTCCTACAGACACAAAGCAGAATGAAGCTGATAGCCGACAACTATGAAGACGAGCAATATCATCCACATGCTCCTCACCACCCCCAGTCTCAGCCCCCACATGCTCCACCTCAGCCCCAGCCCCAGTATTCCCACGCTCCCCACCCTCAACAGACTCCATATCCACACGCCCCGCACCCGCAACATCCGCAACACCAACAGCATCCACAGCACCTGCAACACCCACAGCACCCACAGGCATCCCAGCAACACCCACACCCACAGCAGCCACAGATGCAGTACCCTCACCCTCCTCACCAGCAACATCCTCAGCACCCTCAGCCACCTCCCCAGCACCAACAGCACCCACGCCCTCCACAGCCCCAGCACCCTCACCAACAGCACCCCCAGCATCCTCAGCAGCACCCACATGGGCATCTGCCTCCGCAGCACCCTCACCCTCAGCACCCACACGGACCTCCACAACAGGGGCCACACCCCCAACATCCACACCCTCAGCACCCCCAGCACCCCCAGCACCCTCAGCATCCCCAACACCCTCACCATGCCCAACATCCACGTCACCCGTCGCCCCACCATCGCGGGGGACCAGCCCGAGGACCCCCGCATGCTGGTCATCGCCCTTCCCCAGACCAGGTAAGATCACACATGTTATCTCTGTTATTAAATGCTATTTACAACATGTTTCAAAGGTCAGCACTGACGTCTTTTTGATATGGAAAAGTAAAAATGTCTTAAAACTCAGTTAATCTAATAACTGTGACCAACAAATGCCACAAGCTACATACTGTACTTGCATGTGACACAGATATCTGTGATAATCTCAGCCATGATGGTTAGAAGTTTGCTTTGACAGACTGTCAAATACACAGTAGCACAGTAGTTGGACAATAGATGCAATGTTAAAATTCTGTTGTAGAGAAATAGTTGTGACATTAAGCGAACAAAGAATTAACCGCTGACATCGCTCCAGTCACCAGATGTTGGTCTCAATAAATAAGACACAGTTTCAGTCCCTACAGTTCTCAATGCTGCTTTGAATAAAAGCAACATAACAGCTTCTGCTGCTTTCTTCTCCTCATGCATAACGCTGCCAACGACAGGATGACGAGGAGGGCATTTGGGCATAATCCTTGCTGTGACAACCAAAGCTCTAATGTTGTTTTGAGGGGTGAGAAATATTTAAGACTTTCTTAATTTTACTTCTTTGCCAGCGGAGTCTGTGGTGTTTTGTAAAAATCTCAGCATGTTTGTCAGATTTATATTTTTATCTTTATATATCTTTGTATTTTTTTTCTCACATTCAGATGATTCAGTCACTACTGGAGGAGCACAGCCATGCCATGATGTTGTAACACTACCCAACTAAATATTTATTACCTCCACTCAATCAGTACCCAGCAACGGGACCTTTTTTTCCCAGGAAGAGGAGGGGGAACTCAGGTGTGCAGGTCATGCATAGAGACTGACAGCTGAGCAGGTATTTCACCCATCTAGACACGCATAGACATGCTGTAGTGAACATTATATTAATTACACTAAAAGAAAAATCTTTCCAAACTGAAACTTCCACTGTCTCCTTCATGTTCTGTTTAAGGTGATGTGGGAGCTCTTCTTGGTGTGAACAGGACAAGACGCACTCCACTTCACACAACATTAGATATTCACAACTGAAATGGAAGGAGAGAGAACGATATGGAGAAAGAGATGTTCTGTGTGTGTCTAATTGTTGCTTGGACATGTGATTAACACGGGAGCACTGTATCAGAGGTTACACCGAGGTCAACTCACCTGTCTGTCACAAGTTCAGGCCAAACGGCGCTCTCTTGATCCACCCAGCAGAGATCTCATGACCGTCTGTCAGCCCAGTATTTCTTCCTTCCTCCTCCTTCCTTTGACTGGTTCAAGATCATGGTTGTCTTGCTGACTGTTTCACCTGCCTAACTGACTCCTCTGGCTCTGGTTGGCTCCTCCGCCTGACTCTTGTCATGGTTTTTCAATCCTCACTGCCCTCCTGACTCACCTGGTGACATCTGACCCCTCTGCCTGGCTGTCATGACCTTCGGCGTGTTGTAATCATCAGATTGTTTTTCTGAGCTATATTTTCCCTCCGTGGCACACAGTGACTTCTTCCTTTCTTTTTCTTTTTTTAACCTTTTTACCTGCCATGCGTTTCTTCAGCATTTCTAAACGTGACGTGGTGTCCCTTTACTAGCATGTTCCACACAGTCCAGATTAAGTGGTTTTAGGGTTTCTTTTGTCATTTCTTGTTGGTAAAACGAAGAGCTTTGAGCTGACTGATGACAGGCTTGAGCCTTGCCTGCAACATCAAGAGGTCTCTGTGGCTGTGCAAGCAGGGCCTTCCAGTTCTCTGGCTAGTTTTAGCCTTAAGGCTGTGGCTGCACTGGATTTTATCTTCATCTTACCTCATTTTAATCAAAAGTAGTCAAAAAAAGAAATAAACTATGCAGATGTAAACATAGAGTGAATGCATTCCCATCCTTACTTAAATCAAGTCAAAATGATTTAATTGTCCAATCACAGCAGCCAAGGGAGTGGTCAGAATATATTGATCAGATTATTTAGATTATTTCTGAGACTATGCACCTCCTCTGTGTTGCAGGAATTTTTACTAATGGTGCTTCTGCTGGTGCTCAAACTAAACGGTGTGAGAAGACCTGGTAAAGAGCATCTTTTAGTCCTTTTACAGTAAAGGGACTTGATCCCACAATGGGCTTCATAAACAACTGTAAAGGAGTTCTTTGTACATATGATTTGACAAATGGGGTTTGTGATCCACACACAGAGGCTAGGTCCCTCAGCAAATACTGCTACTATAAGCATCATTCTAGACTATAAAGAGAAGGCAGTGTCCAATAGATGTTTATCCTGCAGGTCTATTGGAGCCACTGACACACCAGTGTCTGACCTAGAGTATGCTCCTGCTCCCCTCTCCCTTGTACTCTTCCAGCAGTAGTTTGTGTGACCTCCCCAAACATAGTGACTTGTTTTCTCCTTCTCAACAAGGTGGCCTGTGCCTCGTAAAAACTGTACACATATGATAGATATGCATATATTATACATATAGAGAGAAATCTATAGAGTGTGTCTATATGTGGTCAGAAAATCATTTCAAACTGACAAGATACTATATAAATATATATATATAATATATATATATATGTTTCTTTTTTCTTCATGGTTATTTTTCTATCTGGCTGGAGGTCTGAGAAATGTCTTATTTAGAGCGTTGAGCGGTGTGATTTTCCTCTGATTTGTACTGTATATGAAAACCCCCCTCAGCAGCAAATTTAACATTCCCTGTCTGAAAATACAGGACAGCCCAAATAAAAAAAAATTAAGAGCTTTAGGACAGTTTATGGGAAACAAAGAAGTGTATCCAAATCTATCTAGAAGTTTAGAAAAGGTGACATTATTACATTCCTTTCTTAATGTGAAAAACAACTCAGTTGAAGACCACTTTGCCTGTGGTGACGACTTTGAACAGCGACTTTATTTATTTTTTTAATTTTGCAGCTCGCACAGGTAGCATTGAGATTATGTCTGCTGAACTCAGCAGTCAGAAGCTTGCACTTGTGAGAGGACTATCACAGTTATCACCCAACCGGAGGTTTGAGTGACTCTGTCTGGATGCATTTCCTTCGTGTGTTTGTCGTTGTTGTTGTCTCGTAAGCCGAAGTGATGATGTATGTGACTGTGACAGCTAACCGAGTAGAAAAAAAAACACACACGCACACAAATTGTTACAATATAGTGGAAAAATGAAGTAGACTGTTACAATCCCCAGTTCCTCTCTCTAACCCTCATGGTGCCTGTGTGTCTCCCTTTTATGGCCAAGTGTTGGTTGTTGTATATAAATGTCTTTCCATTCACTCATCACTCCAAGGTGATCTGTGCATCATCTTTTATGTGTCTGCTTCCCACCGTTACGGCTCTGATCCACTGACCAAGAACCAACAGACCGTGTGAAACCTTGCTGTTTGTGTTTACAAATGTTAAGATAAATCCTGACTTGGATGTTTAAAAAAAACAAAAGGGAAGACAATGCAAACAGACAGAGGAGCAACAATCCTCTCACTACACCGAGAGGGGGATGAAGTATGAATCCTCTATTTTCAGGTCCTTATCTACTGAATACTTGAAGTAGGGAGTTCTCCTACCATGAAATAGTAACATATGATTTACATGGTAGACGACATTTCAATTGTGCCCATGCATGTCGATTTTTACATAATGTGCCAACTGAAAGCGATGATGTAAGGATAATCTCCTGTTCTCTATGCTGAGCGATTTCTCTACTGTTGTGTCAAAAAAAGGTTTCAGAGACACCAAGGCTTAGAGGCTGGGACTGGTTTCCTGAGCTTAGACGCAAGAGTAATCTGACATTGCGTGCGGCAGATTTGAGAAGGCAAGGCTTCATCGGTGCCTAGAAACAGATGTGTAGAAAGACTTGAAAAGTCACCGGTAATTTTCAAAAGCCTTCAGAAAAAATAAAAATAAAAAGCCTACCATACATTTTCACTGTATTCTTGTAAACAGGTTGTTTTTGTTTTACTGCAAATCACTGAAAACTTTGGATTAAACAAATCACTGTGACCAATGCCAGAAACGCTTTTGTTTAACGGAACAAATATTATGTTTACTTTTTTATTATTCATTTTTTTGTATTTAAGTTAGCTTTATTTTTTCTATTTTTTCAGTGCACTGAACATGCCAGTTTGAGACTGTACTATTTGTATAGGTAAATGTTTTGAGGTGTACAGTAAAAACCAAGGAGCAAACTAAATGTGTGTCCAGCATGCTGAATGATTATTCGTGTGAACGTGAGCTAATCTCCCATAAAGCATCATTCCTCATACATTAATTGCATCTGCATCGTGCATTGTGACGGTGTGATGTTGTGTTTGAGAGTGATGTGTGTCTCACTTACTGTGTCCCCTTAGTAGACAGCCTGTGCAGTTCTGTGAGAGTGCAGCATGTTCTTGGAGTTGCTGGTGTAAATGCATTCAGAAAAGAGGGATGTGTGCGTGCATAACTGCAATTTATTTGTTTATGAGTGCGTGTATGTTGTTGTGTGAATGCACAAGATAAAACTATTTAAAAAAAACTAAACAAAAACAACAACAACAACTTTATAAAGAGAAAGTCCCTAAATTAAAAAAAAAAAGTGAGATTGAGTAAGTTTGGGGGGGAAAAAAAAGCATGGATACTCTGTAATGTTTTGTTTTATAAAAACTATAGGAGGCTGTCCTCAGTGCCCCAGTTTGCTATTGTATGTGCTGTATCAGAATATTACTATTGAGTGTTGGCCAGCTTGTTTATATCCATCAAATAAAGGTGACTTTCTTTCTGTCTGCGTTTGTGATTTTTCAACTAAAATCACTTAAACAGTTGCTACTTTATACATAAACTTTGTCTACCTTCTTTAAGTTAAAACCTGATTTAATGCTCACTGAAGATGACTGATTCAGAATAACTGTATGTAAAGTATTTATTTGAGCATTTATACCTTGAAAAATGTGCACATGGAAAGCACTGAACATAACAGCTTTACTACAAATTTCCATACACCAACACAAATCAGGATCCTAATGAGGACACATAATCTTTCCTTTAGTTTGTGCTGACAGCAAAAAGCAAAGATGAAAACCAGCACAGAGAGACTTTGACTTCAGAAACATGAACAGGTAGAAATGGAGGCAGCAGCCTAACTGCTCATCGCTGCTTTTGCTACATGTTAAAGTTCAGGGTCTGGCTGCTGAGCTGGGGTCCACATGCCTTGGACCATCGTCTGTAAACTATAAAGATGGTTATGTTGGGAAATTTTAAATAGATCACCAGTTTGTGAAATACTGAGACCAGGCTGTCTGGCAACAACAACATTGACATAGTCAAAGTCACTTAAATCATTAGCCAACTATATATTTGCATAAACGGCAGCTGAACAGGTGTACCTAAAAAAAAAAAAAAAAAAAAAGGGTGGTGAAAGCATCCTCTCATTGTATTTTGGCTGCTCCAAATACAGAGGAAAAAAACCCCAATCGTTGCTCATTTCTAATGCAGTACATACAAATAACAGCAGCATTTTATATGGAAAACTGGCCATGGTCATTACCTTGGACTGCTGCAGGAGCACAACATTAATGTGTTTGTTTGATATATATAATAATCTAAACACATGACTTTCTTCCTAAGCCTTCTGCTAAGACACCTTCTCCCCCCTTTGTTTAGATCTTTAGTTTGGATTCTTTGGCTCTTACTTGTGTAAAGTGAGACAACATTCACCGTGGTATTTAGATGTCTGCAGCTTCATTAATTTCCTTGTGAGAAAGATACTTGAGACCCTGAAAGTCAGTTTTTCCTGGGTGCCTGTGCCAATACTTTTAAAGATTTAACAGGTTTTACTTGAATCTCCGTAATCAAACTCACTAAAACTGCAATGTGCACATAGAATTCAAGACATCTGTAATTTTATTCTACGAAATAAGACGATGTTAGATACCACCAAATGCACTTCAGCTCTTTAGCTGCTTAACTGAATCAACCTTTTGTAATCTCACTGCACAAATATATTTTCTTTTCCGTACTCCATAAGGACCATGATATCACACACTGACTTATGGAAAAACAATTTAAATCCATGAGTCTGAGAAAAATCTGCAGACTTGCAGAAGATAAGGCACACTAAATGTCACCCTCCTGAATCAAAATTTTTTATAAGCAGCATAAACTTAAAGTAATAGTTTATACACTTTAACAAACAAGAAATTTTTAAAAGCACATATTATATTCCACACAATACAAAATAATGCAAAACTCCATGGCCACTCTATGCAGCAGCGCATTGGTTTGTCCATTTCCTGTAAAGTTCTCTTTGCAAAAGTCTGCAACTCTAATGTCCCTTTACAAAGCTGTTTAACAATCGGTCGCCTCGATCAGAAAGCCAGTAACCCGCCATGGCTGCCAATGCTCCCATAAACACAGATGTGTAGACCAAATCTCCCTTTGCTGCAAGTGTTGCCAGAGCACAAAGGACCACCCCAAAAAACATCTGCTTCAGTATCTCCACCTCATCATCCTGGATATCCTCAAATAGACCTTTCTCCTCAAAATCTGCAGAAGGGTGGTAGAAAAGAAGAATTCAGTTTGGTTTCCTTTGAGCAAATTTTCTGTTCATGTATTTGTAAGTGTCCATGGTTAACATTAGGTGGCACTCACGAGGCAACTGCTTTTTCACGCAAACACTGTCCATGCGGATGAATCCTTCAGCGCAGTCACAACGGAAAGATCCTTCTGTGTTGGTACAAATCTCATCGAGACCATGGCAGGCAAGCACACGGTCACTGCATTCATCTATATCTGAGCAAAACAATAGCAACAGAATGGTCAGACTTTTTAAGCAGCTAGAACTTTGGAGCTCTACTTTTCCACCATGTACCTGCATCATTATTTTTCACCTACTTTTTGCTCTGTCTGTCATATAGAGTGAAACTAGTACATATAGCTAGCGATGCTTTACTGAGTCATTTGTTTGCTTTTGGTTCACATTTAATCATCTACTAGTATCTCCTCCTTCATAGCCTGGTTGCACTCAATGGTGTTTTTGGCTCAAGTTTTGTTGTTTTGACCTCTAATGGGAACAATTTTCTTGCATATTTTTTCAGTGTACTCTTTTCACTGGAGGCTGACATACAAGCTCTTTCTTCAAACACGCCTGAGCTTGTCTCATTTTTGTGCATTTTGTGCTATTTTTAAGGCAACAATATTGCAAAAACACTTTTATATTGTGAGAAGTAATAAAATACCTGGTATGATTCTAACACAATATGGCACAGGCCAGTTTTACAGTGTTCCAGCATTTTTGGAACTCATGCATATATCATGTACAAACAATTCTCTTGTATTTACCCAAACACTTGGATCCTGTCAGTCTGTACCCAGAAGCACATTTCCTGCAGCGTGCTGGTCCGCTACCCAAGCAGCCCACACAGGCCACGTCGCAGCCTGAGAAAAGAGGGGTCATTTCCTTTTTTTAATCCACTGCCTGCATTGCATTCTTAAGCTGCTGCAAATAATAAGCAAACAAGTGAACAATAGGTCCAATTCTTAATTTTCTGCATGAGTATCCAACATAGTTTCTTTAACACCAACTCTAAGGCACTGACCTCTGCACTCAAAGGATCCTTCTGTATTAAAGCAGTAACTGTTTGGAGGACAGTTACCCAGCTGTGTGCCACACTCATCGATGTCTAAAACATAACATTTAAAAATGTAAAAACACCTTTTTAAAAAAAATTTAATATATAAGTGATAATGTCTTGACTCCAGAAAGAAGCTCTGTATACAGTACCTACACAGATCTTATTATGGAGTGTCCATCCATCTCTGCATTCCTCACACTGGTCATTTTCTGGCCCTGAACACAAACTGCAGCTATCTGGACAACTGCTCACCTGAACAGCCAGCAGACTCCATAGGCAAACACCCTGAAGCAGGTTTCTGTGGAGACTCTTCATGCCCATCTGGCCAGAAGATGAAACTATGAATTTGCTCCAAAATACCATGTCTTTACGAAATGGTGCTTGTGTTAGTAGAGATAAAGTGAGATTTATCTGTTTACTTCATGACAATATCAGTTATTTATTTCCACAATTATATTTAATGGTCTCCAACACTGTTTCACAATATTTCACACATAACACAAACGTTTTGTTTTGACACAGGTTTTATATATTAAAGTTTTACATATAAACAAAGGTTGCTTAAAAATACTACTACAGTTCTGAAAGCTATATCAATTAACTGCTATTATCAACAGTTACTGGAACATCACAGATATGTCATATCAAAGGTATTTGTTGTCTTATATGTTCTGACTGTTTTTTATTTATTGATTGATTTTTTTATTGAACTAAATGCTGAAAAAAGAGGCTTGTGGTAATTTAGAAATGATGTCATCACCTAGTTTGCCCAGTAGAGTGGTTACATTGTTTACATTGTACTCAATATTATCTGCAGCTGTAGCAAAGTATGCACCACACTTGAGCAGAAATTATTAAGTTGCTATAAAGCTAATAAATAGTTTTACTTCCCGAAAAGTCTAAAAATGGAAACCTCCAGTATTGGCTGGGGTAACAGAATACATTGCTTAACACACCCTATTAGGATTTTCCATATAAAGGATATTAACTTCTAAAATATTCTTAGTTAATTTATTTGTTCCACCACTGTTTGGTTCAATATAAAAACGAACATTAACATAAACAAACAAACAAAACCAAAAGAAACCGGACGTACTCGGTTACCGTGCTTCTAAATATAAAGTAGCCTTGATGCCAGTCTCTGGTTCTTCATGTTTCACGTTGAAAAAAAAAACATATCAGCCGACAGAAAATCTGACACTAAAACAAGCAACACGACCAGCAACAAACTGACTCTGAAATGAAGAGTATTCGTTACCTTCGCGCTGCTATAGGGTGAAACGGGCAGAAAACTTTAAAAGAAGTGAATCCAAGACAGACCCGCTTGACACATGACCCGGCTGTTGGCTACATTGTGTTCGGTTGCAGAGATAACTCACACCTCCCGCGCGGGCGGAGCACATATCCGTCCCAAGACACCGCTCTTACGGAATGTGGTAATACTTATAACAAGTACTTCAGTAAGTCCTTACACTGGCCCAATAAGAGCCGCTGTCCTTCCAAAGACCAATCATAACTCGATGTGTTTTAGCTTTTAAACCAAACAAAAAAACAAAAACAGAGGCAAATATAGTTATAGACAGGTGTGGACAGGCTTACCGTGCACGGTTATTTTTAGTCTGTAGGAGTTACAGTTTTGCAGCTTTGAGAATAAGACTATAATCGTTCTTGCTTTCAAAAAATCCCCTAAAAGACCAAAATGAATAGATCATCCAGATTTTTTTGCCGTTGTCTTTGTGTACAGAGATGATCATCTCAAGACATGTCAGGACTTAGTTTATACTGTCAGTTTGTATACACTGTCCTGGTACAGCAGCTGCTTCTGCTTAAGCAGATTTAAAAAATAAAATAAAATAAAATAAGGCTTGTGGAGATTTAGAACAACAGATTATTGGTTATGGTCTCTGTATGGAATTTGTTGACTGTATTTGTATCACTTATCACTGAGTCGGGAGTCTTATTCTTCATTAGCATATCATCTTCATGGCAGCCAACTCTGATGAACATATTCTTCATGTACACAAAAAAGCAATACAGCTTATTAAAGTACATTTGGGTGATTTAAACGATTTACACGATGATGCCCTCTTGCTGGTCTTGGTCCCTTTTTAGCCATTGGAGTACCTCACCTTCCTCCATATGATCCTCTCTCTGTCTTTGTCACAGTTAGCTCAGCTAGGAGAGACTGATTCTGAGAGGGAAGACTAAACAGTGGCAGCCCCTGAAGAAGCTCTGGTAAACACCTGTCTCTGGTGTGAGTCTCTCTTGGGTGGGAATCAAATTTCACCAGAACGAAACGTTTACCAGCTCTATCAAGGAGCTTGTCAGCTTGAATGAGGGACAGGGAGGCTGTGAACAAATCAGAATACGGTGACCACAGCTTTGGTAGATCATTTTCTTTGTTCCCCATGCTTTCGTTGATAATATCTTTGTTCCAGTGCATCCATTCTTCGGTTCTCTCCAAGGCTCTACGTGTCAGAACCAGCAGAACTCGGCCACCCAGGCTGTTAAGCTCCAGCAGCTGTGAATGCAGCCATGGCAGAGGCCCCCAATTACACTGCTCCCTCCTGCTCCACTGGTCGACAGATACACTGAAGCCCTTGTCGCTGAGGTTGGACCCGATCTGACACACCAACTTAGAAGTGGCATCATCCACGTCTGGGGGGCTCAGCAGGACAACATGACGCATCTTACCAACTTTAGAGAAAAGTAAGTCAGAATTGTATTGTTGTGGGTGTATGTGTATGTGTGTTTTAGTGAAAGTAGAGAAAAAAAACCTCACTTTTTACTATCCCACCATGTTGCCAGCTCCATACCCATCCTATAAAAGTAAGAACAGGTAAATTTAAATCACTGGATTTATCACTACATGGATATTTATCTCTTCACAAATAACTGATTCGCTGCACCGTGAATACGCGATGTTATTGTTAGACTACTAACTCGAAAAAGAAAAGGAAATTTTCAAACTTACCCTTGATAGATTTATGAAAGGACCATAACAACAGCACAGTAATGAAAGCCAGCAGCATAACAGCAGTGGCTAGGAGACTCCAGCGCCACCTGCCAGCTGCAACTAGGAAAAAATAAAATCCCTTTTCAGAAAATAGAAGAATGCTATTCTTTTACAATTTTTAAAATGTGACATGTACCTACCATTGTCATCAAAACAAAATGGACCTAGGTCATGTTCCATTCCCTTTACTCTTATCTGCACAAACAAATAAAAACAAAGGAGTTACTTCTGTGCAGGAATCAGGTATGACTAAGTCTATACATTTTGGAATACTTTACCATCAAACACGGCAAGGGCCGGAGGGGTACATTTTCAAACACAAATGTGTTCATCTGATGAAACAATTGCAAATCCTATTAGTTTATAAAATAGGGTGTTCAGCTAGACACTGTTTTATTTTATTTTTGTCTAATACAGATACATTGATACTAATATTGGTACTTCACTTGTTGCAAATGTCCTTTATTTTCAATTAAGAGCTGGAACAAACTGATATAGTGCATACAATCCCGATCAAAAGTTTAAGACCACTTGCAAAAATGGAAATTTTTTTTTGCATGATTGGATCTTAACAAGGTTCCAAGTAGCGCTTCAATATGCAACAAGAAGAAATGGGAGTGAGACAAAACATTTTTGAGCATGTAGTTTTTTGAAAACAACGCTGAAACTGAAACAGGCTGTTTTACAGCTGATCAAAAGGCCAAATCTGTCAAAAAAAAAAATAGATTCATTGTCAAATTCTGTCAGGTAGTCACACTGTCACGATGTTCTGAAGGCAAAAGCAAAAAAATGTTCCCTTTTTGAGTGTCGTCAGGTTGTTGAACTGCATAAGCAGGGTTGCAAAAAGAGTCTCTTGAAATCCATATATCTGACCGTTTGGACCAAACATGGGACATTGAAAGGTGGAAGAAAGTTTTATTCTCTGATGAGAAAAAATGTAACCTTGATTCCAACGTTACTGGCATGACAAGCAGATCCCACCTGAGATGTTTTCTACACGCCACAGTGGAAGGGGCGCCATAATTGTCTGAGTTGTTTCAGCACTGTTTTCAATAAATTGCGTGCTCCAAAAAATGTTTTGTCTTTTTTCTTGTTGGATGTTGAAGCTGTACATGGAACCTTGTTAAGATCCAACCATGTAAAATATGATTTATTTTTTTTTACCATTTTCAGGTGGTCTTGAAAACAGATAGATAGATAGATAGATAGATAGATAGATAGATAGATAGATAGATAGATAGATAGATAGATAGATAGTAATAGTGAAGAGTCTGAAAAAGAGGAGTGCACGCCTCACTAGGCTGTATCACTTCTTACCCAGAGTCCCTTGATGTTTTGTTTCCATGCAGTGCCATTTTCCAGCTGTTGGCTGAAGGCACTCCTGCTTCGACTGTGTTTCTTAAGCAGCCACACTTTACCATCCAGCCTGCAAGGTGCAGACACGTTCCAGGATAACATTTCTCCAAAGCTGGTCATTTGTACATGGGGCTTTGACACGGTGATATTTTCCCATATGTTCTTTTGTGATTCATTTAGAGAATCTAGGGGAGACACATAGTGAGTTATGATGTCTACATTTCAAAGAGGTAATCATCCCAATTAAATAAATACACATTGCTCAAATTTTCTCACCAGATTTATTGAAGGGGCATTGTAGTGACCGTGTAGACCTTTGTCCATCCTCGTACCACAGCTATAGGACATGTGAATATGTGAATATGATAGTCATATAAGTCTGCATGGGACACAAGACTGCTGATATTAGCCAGGAGAAATCATGTAAAAGAGCTGATGATACCTGGAGACACATGCAGCGGGTTACGGAGTACAGTGGTATGGTCATCCTGTTCCAACTCTGCAGAGTAACATTTAAAATGGCTTCAGCGAAGAGTAGTACAACTTTAGTACAATTTGCCTAATTGCCCAGCTACTTTTGTGGGCAGAGGAAGACAATATTCACTACATTTATCAGGTTATGTTTATCAGGTAGTTACTTTGCAGTGTTAATGATTACTTATTATTATTTGCAGTGCATTTAATAAAGCAGTGAAAGCATTTCCTCCTCAAATTCTCTAATTATTCCTTAAACTAAATATCTTCTTCACACACACTAAAAGTAATAAAATTAGCTTCACCTACACCAGCCATCGAATATTATGATTGTATACTTATTCGTGTTTATATAACATCATGAAAAACTCCACATGATGAGTAATTTCTCCTCTGATGCTTTCTAATAATTTGAAATAAAGTGAAATTTTAATGCTACAGTTTTACTTGGAATGGTTTTTTTGCTTCTTTTACTAAAAAAAAAAAGTCAAACCCTTTCCAACCTTTGTACAGAATATAAATGACAAACTATAAATGTCATGAAATTAAGGCACTGATATCACTAACCTGACACCTTCCTTTCTGCTCGTACTGGATGCACATCGAGGGGGGGATCTTATTCCCGTCTTCAAGCTGCAGCTCCACTTGATTCATCTTTGAGTTTACTGCAAATGTGAATTTGGGCACTGAAAAGAGGAAATCAGTGTCAGTTATTAGGTATGCTTTCTCTCTCTCGCTCTCTCTCTCTCTCTCTTTTTGTTGTTTTTTGCTTTAATGCACAGGGACATTGTTTGACTGTGTGTTTTACCTTGACACTCTGGTAAAGTTTTCTGCAGTTCCTGGGAGCACACTGAGAACAAACAGGTATATATGTCACTGTTGCCAAATGTGTAATAAGCTGTAGCTTTATAGTTCAAACGTAATTAAAAATACACACCTTCATTAAAAGAAGGAGCAGCAACCCTTTCAGTTATACTTGAGCTACGGACAATCAGGGAGATTTCAAAGGGAAAGCCATCTGACTGAGTAATCACCACTGAGATCTGTAGAAGTCGCATACAGATCAGCGTTAACGAGACAAGTATGCTGGAAGTGAGGCAGTAATGGCAGTGCAAAGTACATGGGGTTTACAATACCTTTAGCTGGTTTTGTTGAGTAAGAGCTTCATTATTCACTGTAAACACCACCTTCTTGCACTTTGGCATGGACGCTTCTGTGCAATAACATACTGTCAATGACCCTGTGGTAACACAGAAACAAACGAAGGTGTGGATAAGAAAGAATTGAAACTTCATTTCCACAATAAGCCAGTAGTCTTATCTGTCAAGACGCTTGACTTATATTGTATTACTAACCATTAGTAACTGAAGCTAGTGGTTTTCACTTGTGCCACTGTTATCTATGACAGCGTTGCAACAAACCTCTGCTTCTTCAGATTGACTTATGAAAAAGCAAATCAGATGTAACTGATTTTTATTGTGAGCTAAATTGTTGTTTTGTTAGCAAAACACGTGTTCATTTCACACGAACCATTTCACAAATAAACTCCATGTTTGCTCATTCATTGTTCCAGTGATGATTCCCAACATGCCAGAACATGTTCTTCTACATCTCACTTGGATGGCTTCCAAAACACATCTGCTTGTATATCGCAGCAAGTAACTCTGACTTTCAAGTAAATAAGAGTCATTGCTCACTGTAGTGGCTTTCCTTCAACCAAGACAAAAGTTTAAAAATTGCATCACATAAAAAGGCACGTTACAGTTTCTTTTTGTTTTAATACAAGGCTGATGTTTGAACTTATAAGTGGATTTCAAATACCTTGTGAAGTGATCTTGTCTTCTCTGTATTCTTCCATTTCTGAGCCAGAGGAGCCTTGATCCTCCGTGTCTTCATCTGGATCGATGTTAAACTCTATGTCTATCACCAAACATAATGCACATGCTGTCTTGTTCGTACAGCAGAGCTTAAAATCTGGTTTTAGTGTCTGAACATCCACAGTGTTTTTGCTGGGATTAACAGGCATCTCATCTTTCATCTTGCATTTAGAGAGACCCTTTAAGGAGAAAAAAAATTGGAGGAAAAACATTTGACTTGTTACTGAATGAGCCTGGGTGGCAATATTTGCAGTTCTGATGACTATGTTATAAAACATAAAACACTCTGATTATATAACCTTTTGTCTGCTTTTAATTAAATGTTTAAGAACAGATAACTTGATTGGTGAAACAGGAAATGAAAATGTTCAGGGACATTATGATAAACTATCAATGAAAACTGTGTTTTATGTACAGGGCATGCCATTGTCGGTGTATTTAAGCACTGTAAATTATAGTACCTGTGAGCAAATGACTTTGTGGCTGTCATGTTCAAAAATCTCCAAGCCATGAAGTGGCATGTGTAGACTCAGTAAAATACACCAGAAGGACCATCCGAGAGCCAACATTCTTCTTTAGGTATCTGCAGCAGTCCTACAGCATTCTTCTACGCATATTTCTCTGAGGGCAACATTCAAACCTTGTTAAGCGAGTAATTTGGCTGCTTCCTGATCATCAGCTGGGTTAGAGATTGGAAGTTATACACATAGAAACTCTGTTTGTACAAGGAAGGGAGTGAGGCACTGAGATAAACTATAAACCCACATATATGAATATGTGTTTCACATTTGTTTATGGTCTAGTCAAAAAGAGATAAAAAAAAATAAGTTATTTTGTTTAACAGAATAACTTAATCAATACAATTTAGATCTAGCAACTTGACTGGCATTGGCAATCTTTGTGTTGTTAACAAATCCATTACAGTGTTCGCTGTTAACTCAATAGTCCTTGCTTAAAACGCATTCAAACATGAAAAATAAGAACACTGTAGTATGACATTAGATAAGACAGGAGTATAATGACATAAAACTACAGCAAAATTAGTAATCTAATAGAGAATAGTCTTACTTTCTTTAAAACCTTGTGTTGTAATCCACTCCAAAGTGTGCATTTCTACTGGGTATTCAGCTCCACACCTTACCAAAGTATCCCACAAGTGCTTGAGTCATGTGAAAATTGCACCACACTGCACGTCATTGTACTGAATCAAGACAAGTCCCTCCCTCTCTCTCCCTGCCTCTCTTTCTTTCTGTTCCTGTCTGCAACCGAGACTCAGCAATGCGCATAAACCTAAAACTTCCTGCTCCGAATTCTTGATTACAGTGTAACCAACACAAACGACAAAGTTCAAAGTCCACAAGGAGGTTTTTTTCTGGGTTTTTTTGTTGTTGTTTTTTTAAAAATCAGAACAAGGTTCAACCTTTATAAGACTAAAGTATTCTTAAACAGTACACAGAGTGTTACTTTAACAGTTAACAGTTCCTATTTGGGTTTTTTGTTCTGTTTTTTTGGACAGCACTTGATAATGTGTTCTCTGTGCCTTTGTCAAAAATTCCTTGTGTTGCTGTTTTTGGTATACTGTGCCTAGATAAACAAGTTTAACACCTACTTGCATGTCTTTCATCCACTCTAATGCAGCCCGTTGAGTGAGAATTATTCAAGGAGGAACACAATGGCACACACCTTGCACAGCAGCTCAACTGGTTTGACCACATAATGCTTAACTAAACTCAAAACCGTGTCTGTCTCTTGAGAAGAAAAAAAAGAATAAAAAAAAGAAAAAGAAAACGTATATCAGTGTTTTTGCTTTGTCACTGTGAGACAATGGCACTGAAGTTTTCAAGCCTTTCTGCATTTACCATTTCATTTTTTGTCCGATTTGTTTTTCAATGCACTGCAATAATCAGAAATTTCCAGTTTAAGATAACATCTTCTCTTTGTTTAAGAACCAGTTAATAAAGAGTGAGTGAACAGTGAGGCATATCACCACCCGTGTAACCGAACTCTGCTTGTCCCTGTCCATGCAAGTTTGAACACTTTAAAACTTGTGCTGTGTTTATGTTTTTCAGTTTCTGCTATTACCATTAAAAAAAGCAGATAGCCTTGCTAGTCTCATTTCTTTTCACTTAAACATGGAGTTAGCTTTCATTCATAATGCTTCAAAATTATTGCATTTAAACAGGTTGCCAATGTGAAGTATTTGTTACTTTAGCGCAGTGTAAGAAGTGTTCACATTACTTTCACTTTTGGTTTGTATCATGAAGAGACAGGTGCATGCAGAGCTACAAGCTGGTGTTGTTGCATTCTTTACATTGAAAGGACTAAGATGCTTGGTAGAAAGCACTAAGACAGTAAGAAGTATATAAATAATACCTCTTTTACTGTCAATTCTGTGCAAAGGAGTAATGTTGGAAGGTAAAGTGGCACCACACATTTTCTACTGAGTAATTACCGTTATTGCAAATCTTGATATATATATATTATATATATATATATATTCATATAAACCTTTTTTTCTGTTAATGTTGGTAACAGGTAGAAAAGTATGAAGGAGCATTAGTAATATTAGTAATATATATTATTGATCATTTTGAGAATACATTTGGAATTTCTTCCACAATTTTCCGTCTGACTTTCTATGCCATCTTTTTAATGTCCTTAAAGTCCTCTCCACACTCTGTTTATGTGCTAAGAAATAACCTCCTTCTTACTAAAACCGATTCTGAAGTACGATCTCATTAACCCAACTACACAAGACGTTTTGCAGAGGGTAAAGCAGCCATGACAGTTTGCTTGATACAACAACTGTAACATTCAGATTTCTTTTTCTCAAAATAGAATTACAACTTTAATCTTGAAACTTCAATTTTATTCTCAAAATGATAAATAATATTTTTCTTCTTAATGTGGCCTAATACTCCATCATAGGAAAGACATTTTCCTCATTTTACTTTGAGTTATTTAACTTATTTCACAGTTAATATAAATCTTTCTTTTATAGCTTAGCTTATAACAAAAAAAACTCTAGTCTAGGTGTTGGAGTAAAAAACCTTAGTAAACAGAACCAATCAGTGCAAAGTTTAAAAAGACTGAAGAGACTGCTTAAACTTTTCTTTAGGAGTTAGATATGTCACTGTATTTCTTGGTCAGTCTTGGACACATCACCCAGTTTGGACTGGTGTGAATAAGTGGCCAACGAACTAAATAAGGCCACACATTCTAAGGAGGAGAGGCCAGGGCCCCCTATAAAAACATGGAGGCTCCAGTCAACATAACATAACAACACAAATAAAATAGCCTCTACACATTTAACAGAATATTTATGCTCACAGTATTCAAGTTAAAGTTGACAGATTATATGAGTTAGGCTGTATGTTATATAACATATATGTCATGGTTCTATTGTGAACCAAAGTCTAACGTTTTGTTAGACTTTGGTTCCACTCCACTGATTAAAATAGCTGCCTTTCCGCACCAGTTGTGGTAGAGATGCATGCTGGGAGTTTTTTTTTTATTTTTTATCTGAACTTAATCTCAGTCATTTGTGCAAAATGTCCTTTAACCTGTTGTCATCAAATATGGAGGAGCTAAGATAAGGCATATTAGAATATCTTGAAAGTAAGAAGATGAAAGACTACTCCTTCCCATTTAGTACTTTAGTTTTCTTTATATGCAGTTTTATTTTAAACTGTAAATCTGAGCATTATATATACATATGTTTTGGGAAACTATAAACAATGACCAAAAGGTAATAATAACAGTAAAAATTATAACAATTTCTTTAGTAGTTGCAGTATTAGAAGTACTCATCATTTAAACCTGTGTTTAATTTTCCTAAGACTTCTAAACTGGTCCATTGTTTGAGTTAGGTGCCTCCTTATGCAGGAATAGGTCAGTGTTAAGTGGCTATATAAAATATAACAAAAAAAGCATTTCTTTGAAAATAGTCAAGTAATACTGGACATAAATGAGCGAAAAAGGAGCCAATGTCCAAAGGAAAACTTTGAAACTTCAAAAAACCCAGTGAACCGTTGCTATTAATGTTGAAAATTTACAAGAAAGTCTAGCTCTCTCCTTGAAAAGAAAATACAAAGAAACAAGGGTGGCTCGAATGTGTTTTGAATTTCTTGTACATCAACCTCCCCAGCAGGAGGGGCTTACAGCTGTTGTACAGAAGAGCTCGCAAACAAGGTTAGGGAATAGTTTGGATTCTTTATTCATTCGCTTGATATCCATTCCATAAACTGTTCTGAGGAAGTCATGAAATTATGCAAGAAAAATAACAGCATTATATTTGTCAGAGATCCTTGAATCAAGTCAGCCTCATTACATGTCATTTGCAGTTTGAGGCTAAAGACAAAACAGAAGAGATGTTTTAAAAAGTTTTCTCTCTCAATGTTCTGGTACTTAACCAGGATTCAGAAATATTTGAAATTGTTATTTATAAGCAAACCTTCTACAATCCAACTCTCTTCCAGATCAGCCAGCAAAGCTGATTAACATTTAGCTATAACAATATGATTACTGTAGTTTAAACTTATAAAATTAATTTTTTTATTTTTCAACGAATTTAAAAAATAAAGGTGTAGAAGTATGCCTGTTATTGTCATCTCAACTGCATTTGTGTCATTTTGGACGCTATGTTAATGGCAGATGGTGGTAATCATAAATCTTGATTTATGTATGTTATTTTTAATTGGTAATGCTGTCTGACACTAGATCCACATTCACAGTTATATTTCTACATGTTGGAAACAGATGGAAAGAAAGTTTCCACAATATATGGTTTTGCCTTGTTTTCCTTTTAAATTAAAGATTTTTCAAATAAATCAACATATTTGCCAGTTAAAGCTGTGTAATGACAAACTGGAACAGTGGTCTCTGCAGGGCAGAGTCAGCAGACGTGAGCCAACAGTTCATTGTGACAGGAGAAGCAAAGCTGTAGTCAACAACCATCTCCCTACAAAAGAAAGAATAAAGAGATCATTAATCTTTGTAGAAATGGCTGGATTCTAAAGCAAAACAAAAACATAAATACAAAAAAGAAAAGAATATATACCCAGTAACGTCTGCCTCCTGGTTTTTAATCTTTAGTTTTCTGACAGGAGCTTGCTGTACCTCCTCATAAACTGCGGCCTCTACAGCTGGAAAGAGAGAGTGAAGCAACATTGAAAACCAATGCAGCAAGGACACACACACACACAGCTTTTCACTCACCTAAAAGTCCTTCAGCATTGTTGTCCGAGGGACGCTGTCTTAAAACTGGCCAAAGGATTTTTGGACCATTGTTCTCATGAACTATGATGACCATTCGCATGTCTCCAGTGGCAACGTCTATTTCGTTGTTGCGCACAATCACTGTCACACTGGAAAAACATGGAGTTACTCAACTTTTTTTTTAAAGCTGTATAAAGCACCTGCACAGATCATGCTACTTGGATGAATTTAGCCTGCTCTGATTAAACAGCAGTGTAGTGCATAAAGTACAGAGCCTTTAATGTTAGCATCTTTTGTAAAAGTGAATTTATGACAGTCAATTCATGACAAACTCTACTTCATGTCTGCCCCTGCCATTTTCATTCTGTACTTCAGTTCATGGCCTGAACAAATAATTATTTGCATCCATCAATGCATTTTCTTCCACTTATCCATGAAAGGAGCTGGAGCCTATTCCTGAGAGTTGGGGTACACCCAGGATAGGTCCTCAATCTGACACAGTGCTGGCTTGGTTTCTAATAAGTAAACTTAAGTCTGTAAATAAATATAAGTGTATGGCTTGTAGTCTACCTCAGCATAAAAAGTGAAGATCTGTATGCACTCGTCTGCCTGTATTCTCGTGCATTTGGGCTTTACTCAAATCCACTCATGTGAGAAACAATCATGTTCCTGCTTTCGCTTTCCTTTTCTGAGCCAGCTAATCTCTGTTCTGTGTGTTTTAAATCTCACAGCCTCTTATCATTTTGCTTTTCGGACTCCTTCATGTGACCCACCTCTTCCAATTGCTTTACCTCATCCACCATTCGCATGTACCCTCCTAACATTGACTCTGATCTGTTACACTATGTCTAATCACCAAATAGCTTATAATTCATACTCTTTACTTCAATGAATTACCAGTGCTTTCAAATGATCTGTCCTTACTGAAATCACATCTCATCTGCTCAATAATCAACACAAAATAAAAAACAAACTTTTTAGGGGTTTCAGCCTCAGAGATGTCAGCTAACATATATAGGTGCTGAGCGAGACAGTCTTCTCATGTAAATCTTGGTAACACAGGTGAATAAGGTCACACATCTGTGCTTATTGCTGAGAGCACGAGTCTGGACCATGATAATACAACATCACCTTCCAGCTGTAATGCGATCCTGTCCAGTGTAATATGTCACTGTCTGTCCATCTCGTACAGTGACCCAGTTGGTGTCGATCTCAACATGTTGGCTGTCTTTGACGTGTATGAAAATTCTGCTGAAGCCTCCATTTGTAACTGAATCAAGCTCACCATTTACAGACAGTTCTAGAAGAAAAGAGAAATGCTCATCTTATACCACAAACTGGAGTTTTCCTATGAAAAATAACAATGGGGAAGAAAAATATTCGTTTATATTACACTGAAAAGGAAAAAAATATTAGGATGGAAAAAGCTAACACTACTGACCCCTGCTGGGATAGTGAAGAAGTTTAAGGCGGACAGGTCCACTGACATCAAAGCATAGTGGAACAGTCTGATTCTCAGCTTTTAGCAAAAACCTGTGGAGTACAGGAACTAGAGATACAGAGGTACACAGTGTTAGAACATTTTTAGTGAAATTAAATATTCACCCCAGGTTTTTTACCCAAAATGTGCTTTATAACCCCTGAGCCAGGAATCCAAAAAATACACATTTGTTCATACATACTATGCAGAGCCTGATTTATATAACATATTATTCTTACAATTTTGTTTGCTTTTCTTTTTGTTTTATGGTTAATGAAGAGATTTGAAAAACAGCCCATGTTTGGAGTTTCCTTCCAGAAAAAAAGTATGTAATTTGCTGCATATCTGAGTACATCATGGGTTGTTTGGAACTTGCAATACAAAAAAAGCAAACAAACAAAAGAAGCCAAACCAAAACAATTACTATTATTTTTTTTATCAACCTGAATGACATCAAGGCAATACAATACCATCAGTGGATTCCAGAGTAGTAGTATCACGTGAAAGATGAACAACAGCAGGTTGGACATCAGGGAGAACAACTGTAAATACATTTAATCACATACACTAATATTTTAAGTCTTTATGTTGCATATTGAGTTTATAAACACATCCTGATACTAACCGCTGCTTTAAATAAATAAATA